AAGGTGTATAGAACTTTATACCACGAACTGAAAATCTTCTAACTTTGACAATAAGATATCCCAAGCATCTAACATCTTCATGCCAACTTTACAACTTTTATTTTCTTAAGTTTCTGTCTACATTCTTGTTCTGAAACTATTGTCGCTTTAGGTTTGTTAAAGACAACATCCCATTCTTTCATAACATAACATTCTGGGGCAGAGTCGACATAAATGACTAAACGTTTCAAATTCTCGACTGCTTTGTTATAGTCTCTAAATGGACACATATTTCTGAATGCTTGGAAGTCATAAAAATCTGAAACATCTATTCTGTACATTTTTTATAAAAATAAAAAAATATTTTTTTATTCTGACTTTGTTGTGCATTTGTTGCATTTGTTGTTCTTGAGCTATTGTTCTTGAAGTTGTTCTTGTAATACAATACTTTCACCAGTTGCATCTTCCAATTCGAAACTTTCTGCCGTCATTGACAAATACATAGGACATAAAAGTTTTACAGGAACAAAGTTTGCGTCAACTAATGTCAACGTTATACTTGCCAAAGTGTTTGAGTTCACTAAGGTTGAAAATTCTGCATTCGAATGAAAATAGGCAAACCAGCAGAGAAAGTATTGTTTATACGCATAAGTATCTTTTGGTCATAATAGTTTCTGTCGACATTCGAATAACACTTTGAACCTAAGTTTGAAACAATATATAAGATTGGTGTGCTTAATGTCAATGGAATAGACATTCCTTGTATGACACCTTTTCCTGTTATAGGAAACTGTTGGTAGTAAAAACCAGAAATAAGTTTTGTATTATAGCTCATATCGTTTATAGTAAACTCAGTCGGACATCCAAACATAATGAAACCTGCTCTAGTTGCAGCACATGTTACACCCGTACTTAAAGTATTAAATAAGTCAACAAAACCTGTTGGTGGTATATCTGAGTAAGTATCTTCAAAGGAGTATTTTTTACCATTCACAACAATAAAGTCTTCTGGTGTCAAAAGAGCAAAACAGGCTTTAGTCGTCATTGTGTTTAAGGTTAGTTTACAATATCGTCCTTGAGGACTTTGTAAGTTTGTTGTTATAGAATTATATGACTCAGGGTTTTTAGTCGTAATAGTATAAACCATTATGTCTTCTGCCATTTACTTAGCAAATAAATTTTAATGAAATGTTGTGGTCGTCAAATATTTTTATAACGTCTGGGAAACTATATTTTAAGTTCAACGTTTCACCTCCTTTCATAACGTATATCTTGTCAATGACATTATATGAAACACCACAGCAACTAATGTCGGGTTCTATTTCTTTGATGTTTATATCGTCTGCCTCTGTCAAAAGTTTCAATAGTTCTTTCAAAACTTCATGAGGTGCAATGACATATGAGTTCACTTTTACAGGGTTGTGTTCGACCAAGTTTAACATTATACTTAAAGCTTGACAAATCTTCTCCTGAGTTTGAAGTTTGTCTTTCAGTTGTTGGTAGTCGTTTCGAATATCTGCAACAGAACTTAAGTCTCTGCTAACTTCAGGATATGTTGGTTGTTCTTTTACAGGAACAATTGTTATACCATCTTCGTCCTCGTATGGTTTCCCCACTTCAACATCTCTGTCTTTGACATTGACAATAACACTTTGACTGTTTGTTTGAGTTGGTGAATTTAACTTCACATCTGCCACCGCCATTAAACCTTTTGAAACACTCACGCTTCTATTTTTCGGAAATGACATTTTACTTAGAATAAAAAGATGGACGTATTCGAGTATCTCTTCGAATTGAAGCAGAACAAAGTTTACACACACAAACAATACAAATACATTGACAGAATAGTTCTTTATACAAACAATGGTAAATGTTATAGAATAGCAGTCTTTGCTGAACCTAAATATTTCCATAAAGCAAAGAAAGTTGGTATAACTGAAATGGTGAAAGTTCTTGACGTTGACAAAAATAAACAACAAAACTTACAGATATTTCTAAAGGTAAGTTTATCTTACAATATTATGTCAAAACTGGCGTACTGTCAATATTTGACGGAGAGAAGTCAGTTCAAGAACAACTTACTGACCTGCTGCCAAAATCTGCTCGATGGAAGCTGTCGTTATGCCAATCTGAGGAGCCCCAGCAGGTTTCATCGAACGAATCTTCAAAAGAGCATCTTCCGTGAAAAGTGCTATTGGTTTTGTAAACTTCTTTGCTCTCAGTTCATCTGGACCGTCTCTGTCACCAGTATATATTGTATTTGAACTGTACCAACAGTTGAAATACCACCCATAAAGTCTTCTGAGTCAGCAAATGGAATGCCAAGCCAAAAGTTTGAACGGTCTCCATTTGTATATTGAGTTTTTTGACCTCCTGTATGAGTCCATACTTTCACATATGGCATAATAGAACTTTGCATTTCAGGGTTAATGGTTGTTGTGAAGTTGTTGTTAAAGTTCATAGCATCTAATGTCAAGTTGTATGACCTCATATCCTCAACTGTAGAATATTCTTCTCTTGGATAATATTTGCCATCTATGTTTATATGATATTTAATACCAGGGTTGTAGAAACAAGAATAGTCATTTATAGTTCGTCTGAACAGTACAAACATAGTATCTGCATGTTTCATTGCAGTTGTTAAAGCAATATCTGTTCTTGCACCTGGGTCAGCACTTTGGTTTCCAACTTCACCTGCAAAGTCTTTGACAGATATTTGGTGTATAGGGAACATAAGTGGAACTGCAATATATTTGGCAGCTAAAGCATTTGAAATATCTGAGTCCAACATATAGACTGCAAGTCTGCTTTCTATTCTCTTGCATTCAAATTTTTCGCATGTGAACTTAACTGGGTCCCAAGCAGTTCCAGCAGCATTGAAATAATAGTTTACTTCATTGTTGAAGTTTGAGAAACCAAAGTCTAAGTCAACTTTGTCTTTGCAAAAGTCACAGAACTTGGCTCCACCAGTTCCAGCTACAGTAATGCTGAATGGGTCTTGTGTTGGTGCAATGACTAAGTTATTTTTGCTTGGAGTAAGTTCAATAGAAATTTTCCTGCCCAGTTTGGCAAGTATCTTAAAAACCTGAAGATGAGGAAAGATGACAAAGGAACTCTAAGTTTCAGTTTTACTTTAGTGGCAGCAGTTCCATCTGAACCAGAAAGGTTAACATAAACTCCTGGAACGTTAGGGTCAAGTCTTCTTATTTTCTCAATATTTGCATACTGGTCTGTTTGTTCTCTAGCTTGTGGTTGTACTGAGTTTCTCAAAGCGAACCATTCATAGTTTGCCCATGTTACTGTTTGAACTAAGTCAGAGTTAGAATATATCTTATATCCCATGAAAACTTCTGGAGCATATTGGTATCCGACATAGAAAATTCCATTGCAACCTTTCTTGTCAGACAACTTGGCAGAAGGTTTTATTTCAATGTCTTGTTCCACGTATAAGAATGAGTTGTCAATAGAAATAATGTGAAACCTGTCGCAAGCAATATCTACTGTTGTTGAAGAACCTTCTCCAAACTCACCTACGTTTCCATAAGAAACAGCAGTTGTATATTCGTAAGTTCCAGGAACTATTTCTGACCTTCTAATGGCATTGTCGCATTCGTTATACCATTCGGAAACATTTCCGTTCATGGCATCCAAAACTGTTGGCGTTATATTCTGAGCGGCGTACATTTCATATGGGTAAAAATATAGAATAGTTGGATTTATGTGTCATAATAGAACCCACTCGTACCAAGCTTTACTTTCTTCCTGACTGAGTTTTTAACTCTTCTTTTTCCTTCATTGCCACTACTTTCACTAGATGAAGTTACTTCTTCACTACTTTCACTTTGTTCTACTCTTCTCTTCTTCTTTGGTGTCGTTTTTGGTAACTTGCCCTCTGCTTCAAGTTGTTGCATCTTTGCCTCATGTTCACCTAGTATGTTGTAAATTTCCCATGTCCTTTTTGCCTTTGGGCTCTGGTCGCCCATCTCAGGTAACCTATATCCTAGAAAGATTTTGTCATAGTTTGTATTTGAGTCTTCGCGTATTGTTTGCATGACTCTTTCCTGAGTTTCCGGTTCAAGCTCTTCAAACAGAGCTTGTCCATATGGAATAAGCTCGTTTCCAAATATATGTTTTTGTAGCCATTCTGGTTTTCTTTCCATGTTACCAATAATATCTTTTGTGAATGGGAAAGCTTTTACCCAATGTTTCAGTCTTGCGTCATTTATTTCTGTAGTTGGTTTTATTTTGTCAAGGAACATGTTTTTCAATACTAACATTTCATTTGGTACTGTCCATTTGAGTTTTCTTAAATATTCATCCCTTCTCGGTTCATTGTCTGCAAAGTAAGTTTTTATGACATTTTGTAAACTTTCGTTTGCAAGGTCATGTACAATAGGTTCTCTTCCTTCTATCTCCCTAACTTTCTTTCTAAACTCTTCACCAAATATACCATCTTTATGGTTCTGTGTAGTTCTTTGAGATAAATGTTTTAGAACGTCAGGTGTTATATTTCCATCAGCCATGTTCATTTCATACTGGTCCAAAATATCTGCATCTTTCATATCTTTCAATGGCATTAAAGCCGCGCTGAAAATACCAGCTATATCTGGTTCACCATTCACTTCCATTGCGTCTACAACTTCTTGGAATTGTGGTTGTAAGTTTATGAACCACCTATCCGGATTAGCTTTATGACCCCATCTCATTGTAGTTCCATAGTCTGCAGAAACAAAAGTAGGTTTGTTTCCATATTGGTTAGGTTCTGAATGAACTTTAAACAATGTTTCATTTCTATATGTTTTGGTGAAATTTAACCTTTTATTTTCACCGAGTTCAGCCAAAGATTGAACGTTATATGGTCGTAAGTAAAAAGGATTGTTGTATTTGCGTACACTTTCTTTCAGTTCTTCCATTCTATGCTGAATATTTTCATCTGATGTTGGAGTCTTTTGTATGTCGGCGAACATTTTTCGATATCCTTCTACTATGTCAGCCGAATTTTTCTTAGACTCTTGGAAAGATTCCATATTCTCCGCATACTCTTGTTGAGGGTCAAGATTTTTCGGCTGTTCCAAATCTTCATCTAGTTCTGTGAAGTTAGTTTCCAAAGGAGGGACTTGTTCGTTTCCTTCTGGCTCTTCTAGCTGTTGTTGCTGAACTATTTCTTCCATGTCTGGTTGTATCTGAACTTCTTCCTGTGGAGTTTCTTGTACCTCATCTGCTGGCATTTCATATATTCCGAGACCGTTTTTAACAAGTTCCCTATTTAAGCCATCCGCATTCATAACCCTTTCTTCTTTCGTTCCGTCTCTATTTTTTACGCGTTTCATGAAGATAGTTGAATTATCATTTATCTCTGACACCAAATATCTCGGAGTAAATTCATCCATGTCATTTGGATGATATGCTATTAAATCATATCCCTTAGCGAGCTTGTATTTTCCAGGTTTGAAATTATATCCCATTTGGTGCTGAACCATAAAGCTAAATAGGTTCGGGTCAGTATTTCCTTCCTTGAACTTTCTAATAGCTTCTTTATATCTGTCACTAAAGTCAAGAGTATCTGGGTAACCATAATTTTCCTTAAGCATTTTTAAGAATTCTTGGTTTCCTTGTTCTCTACTTCTTTTATGTCCTTGCTCTGTTTGTGGTTGTGGTGCTGGATTTTGAACTGTTGGTTGTGGTGCAGTGTTTTGAACTGTTGGTTGTGCTGCAGTGTTTTGAACTGTTGGTTGTGGTGCAGTATTTTGAACTGTTGGTTGTGGTGCAGTGTTTTGAACTGTTGGTTGTTGTGTTGGTTGTTGTGTTGGTTTTGGTGCATGCCTGTGTCTGTGTCCATGTGACGATGTAAATGTTTTAGGTAGTCCTGGTGCAGGTGCTTCTCTTGGAGGGTTTGGTGGTATATAAGTTCCACCAGCTGGCACATATGTTCCATCTGCAGCATAATGTCCTACCTGACTTTTCGTTTTTAAGAAAGCATTTACTAGGTCTGTTTTGGTCTGTTGTAACTCTTTTTCTTGACTTTCCACAACAGTTGCTCTAACGGAGTCATAGGCACTTTGAACTGCCTGTCTCGTTGCTGCATCTGTTATTTTCGTCATATTTTGTGCTACTTCTCTTAACTCGTTGTCGAAACCTTCAGACTTCAGTTTCTTTCCAGATGAGAAGTCGTTCACTAGTTTCACCTTACTATGAAGAGCTTCGAAGGCGTTCTTAAAGTCAGCATTCATTAAAGCTTCATTTGAACTGTCTTCATCCGCTTGTATTTTTGTCCTTATTGACCCTATAAGTTGGGCTGCTTTGGCGTTGGCTTGGGCATCTAACCAGTCATTATTAGCTTTTATATATTCTGCGCTTTTCATTGCCTTTTGCATGGCTGCGTCGTTATTTTTACTTTCTTGTGCTAAGTTTTCATACTGTACGGTTTGGTTTTGCAACTGTAAAAGTTTTTCTGCCTTTACATTTGCTTCAACTTCTTTTTTATACTCATCGCTATCCATATATGTCTTCAGGGCTTTTTGTTTTATCTCTTCATCTTTCAGTACTTTATATTGAGTAGTATGGTTTTTCAAATTTATAACATCTTGTTCCATTTTTGCTACTTCTGCTGCTTTTTCTGACACTTTTTTTGCATATTCCTCTGTACTTAGTTCTTTCAGTTGTTCTTCTTTCTTCTTTTTCTCTACGTTTAACTCATTGAGTTTCTTTGTGTGTCTGTCATATTCTAGTTTCTTTTCGTTTTCACTTATTTGTTTCTGTATGTCTATGTTTGACTTTTTGACATCTGTTATTTGATTTTTGAGTGAACTCAAATTCATTTGACTTTGAGGGTTATAAGCTGTTCCGTCTGCAGCTCCACCATAGCCTGCCATTTTCGCTAAAAGTGCCGCTCTTAAACCTCCACTCTGTGCACCAATAACTCGGTTTAAAAGCATAGGGTTGCTTGACATTTGTTGCAACATAGTGGGGTCATTCATCATTTGTTGTTGCAACTGTTGTTGTGGTGTCAGTTTTACTATTGGATGTTTCAATGCTCTCTTCCTCTTACGTATATTCTTACGTAGCTTACGTGGCATTTTAAGTGAAGTAAAAAACGGTTTTTGACGGATGTTTGTATGACACTTTTTGTTCAGCACAAAAAACTACTCGGTCAAAGTGTTGTCAGTTTTGTAAAATAACCGTCCTATCTCATTCTATAAGGGGGAAAGTCTTCTCAAAGTATACTTCCTTGGAACGCCCGTAACTTTTCCTGTAGCGACGATAGACCCTTACTTGTCCGGACAAAGTTATACTAAACATCTTCAGGGCTAGAGGGCACGAAGTGCCTGGAGGCCCCACTACCTTTTTTTTTTTTTTATTTCAAATAAATTTTGATAAATATCCTGTTTGAGATTATTTGAAAAGAGGAAATTATAGCTTTTTATAATAAAATTAAAAATTCAACAAACATAAAGAAATCACGGTATGATCCAGTCTATGGGTTTACTGGACTTAATGTTCCATCTTGACAAACCTACAAAATTCTTCACATGAGAAAGGCTTAACTGGACCCTGCATGTCGAAAGACCAATTTAGCCTTTCATATGTGAATGTAGCTTTAGATTTGAATAATACGATGTCATCTCGACAGGCTCGTCTATTCGCGCACAACCTTCGATAGTCGTAGGATGTGCATGCTGTCGATGTTCAACATGTGCAGAGAATATCCAATCTTACTTCTCATTTAAGATTTTAAACACTGCAGGTGTAAATGCGCCGACTAGTTTCAGCCTGCAATACAGGCTAACAGATGTTGATGCATTAATCGAAATAATAAACGAAAACGATTATCCATTCATGAAATTAGAACCAATTCATATCCCTCAGTTTGTCACTTTTTGGCGACTCGAGAGAAAAAATACCAATGCTTCACGCAACAGAGCTTACTGATGAAGATATTTCGGCGATTCCACAAGATAAGCTGGTCAAAATCCTTAACGCCCAAATTGATGGTGCCAGAAGTGAGCTTCAGTCTTTGTATTCATCATTAGAAGAAGAAAAATTATCAGTAACAGAGTTAGAATACAAACACAGAGAATTAGAAGCAATATTAAATGATGAGAAAAAGAAATTGCAATTTAAAGAGAAAAGTAAACAAACAGTAAATAAACAATTAATCGATCTTCGCGGCAAGATATCAGAACAAGAGTCTAAAATAAAGCATTTCAAAGGAGGATCTGAAGGTGATACCATAAAAGCTTCAGAAATCGAAAAATTACAAAGTCAATTAGAAAAAGAAGCCGGTAACGTACTTAAATACCAAGCACTTATCGAAAAAAGTCGAAATGAACTGGCTGCAATTGATTCTCAGTTTGCAAACGAACTCGATGCAATACAATACGAAATTAAACTTACAAACGACGAAAAGAATAAAATAATAGATCTAATCGAGTTACATATGCAAAGACTTTCGTTAATGAAACAAAGAAACGAAGCATGTCTTAAATCCGTTGTTTCACACTCTTTGGATTCCCAACTGACGGCTACATTGGAAGAATTTGCCAATTAATTATTATTCAACATTTTAACTTATGAAATTTAATGAAATTTACATTCACTTCGTTCCGACCAAATTTCTGGCCTAAAACTCAACACAGATACTACATATATAGCATAGATATGTAGAAGGCACTGTAATATCTTGAGTTTTATTATCGCTACGAATTACCTACAAAATTCTCTTAAATATCGGCATGCGACGATCAAGAACTTAATAACACACAGTTCAAGATCCCATTCAATAGCTACAATTTTAGAATTACATGATTAAACTTCTAATTTGAAAATAAAATTAGACTAAAAACTTGATTTATACTCTTTTTATTAAAATATCTTACTTATTTAGCTTGCTTCATTTACATTTTAATTCATTTGTTTCTAAAATTTCAATATCCCATTAAAGTCTTGCTTGATAAAACACATATGGGTGTGAGAAGCATATAAATACCATAGATATGTTTAATGAATTGATATTTGGGTGAACGCTTTGTATGCAAAGTGGAAAACATGCATACAAAATTAGAACAATATTAGTAATTCACGCCCGTAAAGTGTCATGTAAAGGCGACTCTTAAATGTACCTTTTCTCTATGATAGAATTGATATTTTTATGAATAAACATAAATATAGCATACATTGATCATACTCTATCTTTTCATTGTTTCAAAATCTAAAAAAGATCTCTAGAAAAAGACTCAGGTCGTAAATAAAATATTTGAATGAACTCCAGAAATACAAAATTATAAAATATATCAAAAATGAAAGGACTTTATTTATATATATAAATCTACATAAAACAATATATAATCTATAAAACAAAAATAATAATAAATAATATTTCAATCGAAATCAATTGGTTCTTCAGATTCTTGTATTTCTCTCTGTACAGTTCCTTTATTTACGGCTTCATCGCACATCTGTAGTATCTGAGAAGCAATTGAGTAATAAATAGACTCAACTTCATTAAATCTTTGTGCGTTGTTTGCCATCAATCTCAAATCGGCGACGAAATCATCCAAAGTGTCGTAATCTCCGCCGCTTACTCTCTGCGATATCTGCAACAATGTTATTGGATTGGATATCACCTGGTAGTAGATCGGGTTCTGTTCTGGTGTTGGAAGAACATCGAAATAAGATTGACAAACGGTTTTGACTTTTTGAAGCAAATTTGACATTTGTTCATTTCTTACTTCTATTTCTTCGATGTGATCTGTTGGATCTTCACCTCTATCAATCATCCTTGTGTACTCGCTATCAGTCATGTTCTCAAGCTTTGCGATGGAGAAAGTAGAAGACCTAGATTTGCGGATAGAAGGCAAAGATTCATCCTTTTTCAAAACAGAAAATGGCACTTTTAAGAAATCAGGTAATTCTTCGAACGTAATCAATGAAGGATATTTTCCTTGTCTTCCCGCATCGATCCATTGTTTCTGAAGGGCCTGGTTTCGCTCGACATCCATCTTCTGGAAGATCTCGTATTCTTCAGGACTCCTTGCAATCATCCTGTTGATTTGCTCGCTAGAATGTGCACCGGAATTGTCTTCTGTCGTTGATTGGTCGACCAATCTTTGATACAATCTCTTTCGCTCGTCCAAATTGGAGGAATCATCGAACCTGCCGATCTCTATGATCTTGTTTTCAACAGTCTTCTTGTCATCGGCCCTTTCGACAACGCGCTCTTCAATGGAACCGGCAGTGACAAGTGAAATGACCAAAACCGGTTTTTCTTGGCCAATTCTGTGGACTCTTGACCTCGCTTGCTGGTCTGCAAAAGGATTCCAGTCGTTATCGTAGAGGATAACTGTATCTGCGGTCTGGAGATTCAAACCAAGGCCTCCTGCACGAGTACTCAACAAAAAGATGAAATATTCTGAATCTTCTTTGTTGAAATCGGCAATGAGCTGCTGGCGTTGGTCTGATTTGGTGTTGCCATCCAATCTAAGGTATTTGTAGTCTCTCCATGTCAAAAGATCTTGTAATAATGTTAATACTTCTGTCATTTGGGAGAAAATGAGAATTCTGTGGCCTGTTGCTTTGAGTTTCGGAAGAATTCGGTCGAGAACTTCGCATTTTCCGGATGTTCTAACTAAATCCAAGTTTACAAACCATGTATCGTAGAATAAGTAGGGATGGTTGCAGCATTTACGGAGCTGCATGGTCGTGTTATCAAGGCGTTGGATGTGGTCCATGGAATGAACAACAGATGACTCTGTAACTAAAGTATTGTATACAACTTTTTGCCAAGCGGACATCGCGCACAAAAGCTTGCATTCGCGCATCTTAGGAAGCTCTGTGGCAACTTGCGCGGTAGTACGACGGAAAAGGAAGGGTCTAAGGACGTTATGAAGTTGGGATATAACAAGGAACTGTTCTTCTCCGGTTAATGAGACGTCTCCGCCTGCTTTGGAGAATGGAGCGGAGAACCACTCTTCGAATTGGGAGTGATCGTTGAAAATGTTCGGTAAAACGAAGTTTAATAACGACCAAAGTTCTCTAGGGTTATTTTGAAGGGGCGTACCTGTAAGCAATAATCTGTTCCCGCATTTGTAGGCGCTGAGAGCTTGGCCGAGCTTGCCTTGGTCGTTTTTAAGACGATGGGCTTCATCAATAATCAGATAGGAGTAATCCAAGCGGCCAAGAGTAGCTTTATCACGGGTAGCAAACTCGTAGCTAGTCAAAACAACGTTTACATTGCTTCCCCTAACGAGATATGAATTTGCTTTTTGTTTTCTCTCCGCAGGGGTTCCTGTATACTGTACGACGTTGAATGCGGGTAGCCATTTGTTAAATTCGCTATACCAGTTCGATAATGTTGTCAGAGGGCCACAAATTAAATGAGGTCCGTAATCTTTTCGATTTTCCATCAGCCAGGCAAGCAACGCGATACTTTGGATTGTCTTACCAAGACCCATCTCATCGGCAAGGATTCCGTTGAGATGTGAAAGATACAATGAAACAAGCCATTGTAAACCTTTCAATTGGTAATCTTTGAGTTGTCCGTTGAGGTGCTGAGGCTGTGTAACATTTTCTTGAGGTTTCAAGCCAAGATTGTAAGGATTCGAGCTTGTAGCGCCTTCTGTGATTGTAGCGTTCGAAGTTTTGATTTTTTCGGTAAGATCTTTCATGTATTTATCTGTTTTCTCTAAGAGCATCTTAATACGATCATCTTTCATCTGATCGACGAGTCGACGGTATTCTTCGAAATTATTCTTTCTAAGAGCTTGCAAACGGGCTGATTCGCTGTTCTTGCCCTTCTTTTCCTTCTCGGAGTTCTTGAATTTGATGGAAAGTGCATGGTTGAGCTCAGCAAGCGATTTAAATTTCGAATTAAGATTCTTTCGGAAAAGATTTGCTTGCTGCTGAAGTAAATTCATCCTAGTCGATTTCTTCGATCTCTCAACGCTGGTGACAATGTCATACACCGCATGGATACCGATATGTTGTGGAGATATCGTATGATAGTTTTCTGACTTCGAAACTAGCATACGAGATGCGTAATCAGGAAGGTTATAACCTAATGGATCCAAAGTGAATTTAACTACATCCTGACGTAATTTAAGTTGTTCTTTATACGCTGAAATGATTTTGACTTCTGGAGCGATGACGGCGTCACTATAAGCGGCTGTCATCTTGCCAGCTTCATTTTGGCCCTTTTGGGCCTTCGCAGCAACAAGAATTGCCATTCTCCTTTCAGCAAGGAATTCAGGAGGCTGGCCTTCGCCATTGAGGAATGCCGCTCTGAACGCATTCAATGCTGTGGGCTGCATGGCTTTTGCTTGAGTATGCGGTGTTAAATATTGCAACGAAGAAACAGAGTTATCAGTAAGAACTGGCTGATCTTTCGTTGGAATTGGCATGACGCCACGCTGTATTTGAGGCGGAACTTGATATTTGCGAATAACGTTTCTAAACATTGCGACACGAAGCATTTTTGTAACAGTATCCTGACTTGATTCTTCGGTATCATGAAGAAATGTTTCTTCTGGCTTGAGAATTTTTAGAGAATCCGCTTGCCTGAATCTATCATTTGCAGCCACAACTGCAATTGCAGCTTGAAACTCAGGCGAGTTCGAATCGAAATTCGGTCGCGAACACTCTGATTTAATCCATTGAATAATCATATCAATATCAAGCTCCGATGGGAGATTGATTGATGTACTCATTGGATTTGAAAATCTAATTTACAATAATCGTCGCACACCTGTGAATCAGCAAAAGTAAACTATAAATTAATAATGCTTTACGGATGTATATTTCAAATAACTCGGAATATTGATGGAATGGAATAAAAACAATTTTATTTTTTTCACAACATCTAAAAAATTAATAATCAAAACGACTATAATTGTAATAAACAGAAATTCATCAAAAGTGACAGCTCTCAATTTTATGACATTTGTAAATTCTAAATTGAATGAGAAAAATGAAATAATACTAAGCATAATACAATATTCTAGATTTAATTATAATTAGGAAAAAGTTAGTTTTGAGAGTACTTTTCATAGGCATATAGAATGAAATCTTCTGAAAAATAATATCACATAAACTCATATTATTTTCTAATATATAACTATTTTATATAAAAATCAAATTCAATGATCTTAAAAGCGAAGGATAAACCTCAAAATTTACGAATATAATGAGTGGGAATATAATGCTTATCTATCATAAAACCATATGAAATATCAATTTTTGCTTTACGCCTAATTTTTGACGACAATTAGCAAAAAATGTTAAATGTTAACACTCAGTCCATTTGAATATGAAAAATAAAATTGACTTTGATTAAATGTTTTTATTTATCATGCAATTCTTCTTGCGACCAAAGATTTGAATAAAATTTCAAAAAATAAGATAGCTTAAAAATAATATACGATAGTGTTTACTAATAGATGAATAGTATATAAATTCTATTAAAATGGATTTGATCCAAAAAAATATAAAATCAAAAATAATTGTTATAATTTAAATGAAGAAGTAATTTAAAACGATTTTATTTATGATCAAATTTTATATATTTTTTTGGATCAAATCCATTTTAATAGAATTTATATACTATTCATCTATTAGTAAACACTATCGTATATTATTTTTAAGCTATCTTATTTTTTGAAATTTTATTCAAATCTTTGGTCGCAAGAAGAATTGCATGATAAATAAAAACATTTAATCAAAGTCAATTTTATTTTTCATATTCAAATGGACTGAGTGTTAACATTTAACATTTTTTGCTAATTGTCGTCAAAAATTAGGCGTAAAGCAAAAATTGATATTTCATATGGTTTTATGATAGATAAGCATTATATTCCCACTCATTATATTCGTAAATTTTGAGGTTTATCCTTCGCTTTTAAGATCATTGAATTTGATTTTTATATAAAATAGTTATATATTAGAAAATAATATGAGTTTATGTGATATTATTTTTCAGAAGATTTTGTGTTCTTCTTCAAAATTTTATTTTTTTATTAAAAAGAATCTTTACAAAATATACATTTACTTTAATTAATATTTAAAAACGTGCTCTATCAAAAGTTCCAAAAATCCAATATTTTAGCTTTTCCGAGGTGTCACTTTTGATGAATTTCTGTTTACAACATAATCAACTCTAAAAAAAAAGAGAGAAGTTTTTTATGATAAATTTAGATATAAAATCAAAATGAAAAAACGTCAATTTTATTTCATAAAATTCACAAAAAAAGCTCACATATTGAAGTACGAAACAACGAAAACATGCTTGCTATAATGGTCAAACAGTTTGCAATGAAAAAGATATATTTAATTTTTATACATATTCTCTATGAAAAAGAATTTTAGTAGTAATTTTTTAAAATACAGGTGTAATATGGCAAATAAATGCATATAATAATAGCAATCAAGGTTCTATTTTGGACCAAAAGTTTTTTCTAACGCTTGTATACGATTTTCGAATTCATTACTTTCTTTAACGCATTCATATAACTGAGCAAGCTTTGTTTTGATCTGTTTTTGATATTCGTTATCTATCATTAACTTTTCTTCTTCTGTTAATGCTCCATTTTTATCAAGATCCTTCTGAAACTCAGCATATTCATTATTTAAGTTTTTCATTTCTTGATTATGGTATACTTGTTGAGTATTAATAACATTTGCTTTAATCTTCAGTTTTTTAAGTTCTAATTCTGCTGCTTCTAAGTTCTTTTCTTGCAATTGGAGTATCTTTTCAACTAAATCTAGTTTCTCGTTCTCATTATCTATTCTTAGTAATGAAGTCCAATTTTCAATTTCAGTCATTTAGTCACTTTTTAGGCCATAAATCTTCAAATATTTGTTTACTGTTATGTTCCTTTTGCGAATAAGTAGGACTCAGTATATGGATTCATTTTTCTCTGAAGATTTATATTCAGTTGCTTTCAAAATCATATTCTTGGGACGATAAAATTTTAAGAAAAGTGCACGTTTAGGGTAATGGATAAGCGAGGAAATCCTCGTGGCAGAGTCGAAAATAAGAATAATATCAAACACATTCGAACTCCAAAGAAGCAACAAGCAAAGCTCCCAGATCGATTTCTCAAAAAAGAAGAATTAGGATCGGGAGCATTTGGAGTTGTGTATGCAGCTTTTGATCAAGAAACATCTAAAACAGTCGCAATTAAATGCCTTATAAACAATGAAGCAATTGAAGACTTTCAGGAAGAATTAACATTACTTAAACGTCTTAAGCATCCTTCAATTGTACCTTATCTCGATTCATTTAAAGATTCAAATGGTGCTCTACACATTGTTATGGAGTATGCTGAGAATGGTTCGCTTCTTGATGTCATCAAAACTTACGGTCCGTTAAATGAAATGATTTGCTCAATTTACGTCGTGCAGATATTACAAGGTTTAGAATATCTTCACAATCAAAGTATAATTCATCGCGACATAAAAGCAGCTAATGTACTGATGCAAGGTGACAATTGCAAATTAGCAGACTTCGGACTTGCTTTAGACTTAGACAAATACGGCCATACTCTTAGAGAGTCAGCAGGATCTCCATATTGGATGGCTCCAGAAGTAATTAATGGCGATCCTGTTGATACAAAGTGCGATATATGGTCAATCGGCGCTACAGTACATGAATTACTAGTTGGTAAGCCACCACTCTGGGATTTAGCTCCAATGCCAGCAATGTTTCAAATTGCAGGCCCAAGAGATATCCCAATTCCAGCAAGATTTTCACCTGATTGCAAAGAATTCTTGCAATTATGTCTTAATAAGAACCCAAAGCTTAGACCAGATGCAAAACAACTTTTGGCTCATAAATGGCTTAAGAAAGCTCATGAAATGCTTGCGAAGTTTAATCCAGGGTCTCAAGTTTCTGCAGATGAGAATATGAATATGAAGAGCATAACTGCTAGATTCGAAGCACTTAATATATGGGAGTCAGCAGAAAATCATCAACCTACTCCAGATGAAATGTGTCAAATGTTAAATGAAGATAAGACATTTGCTCACGGCTTACTATTAATTGCAAGATCTGTCCAAACTATTAAACGCCTTCCTCAATTAATCCAAAATATTTGTGGAATGCGCGCAATTATTGACGGTTTGACTAATAAGCAAACAAAGTTGCAGACGCTCAATCTCATTCAATGTATTGTTCCATATGCTGAACAAAATGCTACAAGTCTACTTCTCCACTCAGTTCCTCAAAAATTATTATTTGATGAAACCGAAAAAGGTGATAACCTTCTTCACCAACAAATTTCTTCTATGGCACTATTGTTTTCTTCATCAATTGGTCCTAAGTTCTGCTGCTATTCAGGTCTTGTTAACAAAGTTGATATTTTGCTTTCAACTCCAATTCTATCTTTATTTGTTCCAAGGCTTCTTCTCCAGATATTCAATGCTCATATATCAGGAAATGTCGGATCAATACTACTAGCAAATAGAGACTTAATCAAGAAAGCAGTCTACCTTGCATTCAAAGCCTGCCTCCATGCAAAAGAATATCTTGATTTGATTTCGCAAAAATTCACTGATATCTCACCAATTATAAATGCTCCTCAACTCAATGAAGGTGATGAAGAGAAACTTAATGTTCTTGGTATACCTTCAGAAATGATGGGAATTGCTAAGAACGTCGTAGCTGATGCAATTAGTTTGCTTCACAAATATTCATTACTTTCACCAAAATCTCAAGTATATCTTGCAGAAGAATTTGATCCAATTTCCTACATTATTCAACACAAAGAGAAGTTCCCGAACTTGACATCTAAAGAATATACAACACTTCTCACAATCCTCAACAATGTTTCATCGAATGTTGTTGCAAAGGAGAAAATCGCAGCTGAAGAATTACTTCAACCATTGATTTCCCAAATCACAGGTTCAAGAGAAGATGACAGTGCTACAATTTTACAAATTGTTTCGAACATGATTAAGAATTCACCTGAACTTATTGAGTCTGCATGCGATTATGGCATTTGCGTTGCACTTGAAAAAGCAAGAGGATTAGTTGAAGCAACTGTTAGAGTTAGAGATTTAGTTTGTGAAATTCCAACAGTTTCTAGTTTTTGTGTTTGGAAGTTGAAAGAAACTACTTTATATCAAGACCTTACAGACATGATAGATTTTCCAATCTGGAATAGGAAAGCAATTAGAGCTCTTAGTCATTGGGCATCTATGGATTCAAGGTTTATTTCAAAGCATTTAGAAGGAGTTTATGAATCTATTAATCAATTCATTTTCTCCGAATTAAATGCGGCTGAAATGAAATCTAGTCATCCAGAATCATTTGTGGATGTTACAAGAATAATGCAATATTGTCCAAATGTTGGTCATAAGATCTATTCACCTGAAATTATTGAAAGAGTTATGACATGCTTAGGAAAAGTTGGGGCATTCGGACAAATACAATTCCTTGAATTCCTCATTCAAGTAATTGTGCAGTCACCACAACCTTCTCTTATTGCTGCTTCTCTTATACCTCAATTGCTTCCATTTACACAATCTTCTGTGATGCAAGTTCAAAAAGCTGCTCTTCGCGTTAGAATCTTGTCTAGATGCTAACAATCATTTGTTCATTATTTATTTTGTTCATTAATAAAATGTTGTTTAATTTATGCATTTTAAGAACATTTTGAATTGAATTCGAATGAAATATCTATTTGAGCGGTCAAAATGATCACATTTAAATAGAGTATCTCGATTCACTCTAACACTCTATAAATAATCAATAATATGACTGCAATTTTTGGATTGTTTCTGTCATTTTTTGCATTTCCATGATTTTAAAATTAATATTCTTGAAGTTTAGTGATATATGTTATATATTACCGATCAACATTCCGAAAAGTTTTCTTTCAGTATAATGAATGAAATTTTGAAGCAACTTTCTGAAATTCCGAAAGGAAAAGCAATTCCAAATGCGGATAAAACGATTAGTCGCTCATTATACCTTCTTCATGAGGAAATGTTGGCTTCAAAAGAGCCATTTTCCAAAGATATTGAAGATATTTTATTAAATCTTATCGTTGCCAACGAAAGACAACTAAGCCCAGTGACCGCAAATGCAATAGGCATTTGCTTGCTAGCTTATTTTAAATCAATGAAGTCTCCAGATTTTTGGAAATTTTTATCTATAATTTCAGATGAAATTCAAGCATACAATTTAACTGCAATTGTTATTTTAGGCATACTTTCAAAAGGAGTCGGCAGTTCCTTTAAGGCGCAATTATCCACTCACATTACAACTCTTTCTAATTCACCACATCCATCACAATTTCCTTACATATGCCAGTGTTTCAGAAGAATACTTTCTGGAACTGGAGACTTCCTAATTCGATCAATTCCACAAATTTTTGTTTTTATTAGACGATGCATTACAGCAACAGCAGAAAATCTTCGAAATGAAGCAATAAAGACGATCCCCGTATTACTTACTCAAGCAAAAATTGATTTTCTCAAATTATTACCTGTAATTACTCCAACAATCCATACAGAAACATTAACATCAAGATATATCGTCGGAAAATCCTTAGGCAAGTTATTGTACCACGCTTCTAGCAACGAAATTTCTTTTATTACAAAAAATTATTTAACCTTGCTACAAAACGAAAAATACGTACAAACTGTATGCGCATCCATGTTTACAGCATTTAGGTTCTTCGAGCCTATTTTCTTAGTCTCAAAACTCAAAACAATTTCGAAATTTTTATACAATGTTTCTCTTTTGAAAATCGGCATTAATTCCATGATGCCCATTACACAGTCAACATTAAAATCCGTTTTCTCAGTCTGTGGCTCCACTTCCGGCAAATCAATCTGCCAACATTTAGTAGAAATGATTCCTGAAGGTAAAGTCACCATTCCCAACGCATTAGTATTAATTACAGCCCTGCAGCATTGCGAAGTACCGCATAAAACTCTTCAACAAGGACTAAGATTAACTTATACATTATTAGAATGCAACATCAAGGAAATACAGAAGATTGCCATCTCTTTCTTTGGTTCTCTCAACCAGAAAGATCCGAAAGTAGCCAATCTCTACTTAGAAACGTTTTTAGTTTTGATATCAGATGCGAAAGAGAAAAATTCGCTGATGGGATACTCAAATACCATTTCTCTACTCGCAAATACAAAGAACGCTGCTAAAATACAACCTGTTGTAATTAATCTCATGAATAATGGAACAATTGATTCCCAAAAAGTGTCAGCAGCTTTTTCAATGGCTACAGGATTGGCCGCCATCAACCAAATATCAGATGATATCTGTCAAACCGCTGTCAAATTGATAAATTCAATGAAACCGTTGTTAAAACTGTCAGTTTCTCAGAAATTATCAATTAAATACATTTCTGCATTTCTTTTAGCATGCAGGACTAATACAACAGTTCAGAGTTGTATTCCACAGTTTATTTCTAATATTTTACATTGTTTAACTTTATTTTCTGCATCAACAACATTTTGTATTTGGTCATTGATACAAAACATGAATTTATCTGAGCAAATGTCTCAGTTGTTTTTATCGGCAGCGGTTGTTTCCGTTAGCAATTTATTTAATATTGAAACTTTTGAAATTGATTCGGTTTTGTCACCTTTTTCGAACGATACAGATTTAACGAGTATAATGTTTGGCACGAAAATAACGAATAGTTTTTCTTCTATTTTTACAAACCATTTACATTTGAATGGTATGACACACAGAGATGGCTGTTGCAGAATAATTATCGAATCTTTTCCGTCAATTATAAGAAAAACTAAAAAAGAAAAAGTGACACAAATAATTGAGTCACTTTTTATTGGTCAAAACGATAACCAGATTGGAGGAAAACTTATGTTGATCAGGTCATTGCTTCAGAAGAAGTCAACATTTGGTTTTCTGCCAAATGACACTTTGCCAAAACTTTTTACGATTAAATCCGATTCAAATTCGGTAAAAAGGATTGCTAGTGGTTGTATTTCGAGATTTTTATCTTTCTATCCAATGCTGATTAAACCAACATTGGAATCTCTCGAGAAATCGAAGAAATCTTTTGATTTTGCGCTGTTAACAATTGCCGAATCAGCAAATCTTTTCGTACAAGAGAAAATGACTGAAAGATGTTTGAAATTAATAATGCAAATAGTTGCTCAACAATCTTCTCCTGAAGCAATATTCGCATTATCAAATCTTGTGAAGTTTTCTACTGATAAATTCTTGGTTGAAGCAATTGAAGATGTTTTATATGGCGGTTTTGTCACTTCACCTCCAGAAATTTGCCAATTTGTCAATTTATTACAAAATTCAAAGGAAAATGAAAATTCAATAGTTTACAAAGCTGCTGTTAATTGTTTATTGAATTTCTTTACAATGAAAAGTTCATCACAAATCTTGTCAGCGAATTTGTTGAGAAACAATTCATATACAAAAGAAATTTTGTTGCCAAAACTGAGTCTAAAGACTTATCCATCACTTTTCTTGTTGAGTTTGCAGTATAATAAGACAAAAGAAATAATTTCACAAGTTTTCATGTTGCAACAACAATTATCAACAAGAAAAGTGACAGATGCAATTATTTCATTGTTTGACACTTTTCCTATCATTGCAGAATGGACAGATTTATGCAAGCGAGTTATTCTTACGAATTGCGTTCCTCCTTCTGAACGAAAAGGCGACAACAGAGTTTCTCCGACTCGTTTTGTTTTGATTGCTGCAATGACTGTTTGTTCTTTACTTGCAAAAACGGTTAGAAAAGAATTTCCAAGCGGTTTGCCATGTGTTGATGATATTATTTCCATTGCTTTCAACTCTGTGCAGATGAAGGACACAAAAATCGATTCACACGCGTTTTCTATCGCGTCAACAGTCATAAGAGAATTTTCTGACGTCGCAAACAATGATGGACCATTTTTGGCACTTTTCACTGCACAATTTCATCTGATGTTAAGTCATGCATTGGAGGAACAAAGGAAATTCCTATCTGTAGCGGATTTCGTGCTGGATTACCTTACTTTCCTAAAACTTACTGATACAGAACAAGTCGCAAAAAGAGTGTCAAAATTAAAAGTGACAAAATTAAATTGTTTGACTTTGGCAAGGTTGACTTCACTTTTGATTGAAAAATCTCCACAATCGAAACGCGAAATTATTCCTATATTTGTAAATTCGTCAAGTGAAGTAATGAATTCATGTTTGAAACAAGAAATCAAACTGAAAGATTTCGACAACCAAATTCTACAATTTGCAAAATGTATTTTGGATTATAATGTCGAATTTGGCCGGCCATTTTTACTTCTTCTTTTTGAGCAAATCTCGTCAATAAAAGAGGATTTCGTGCTCGACGTCTGCTCAGCGTACGCTCAAAAGAATTTGTTAAAACCGTTTGACATTTTGTACGTTATTTCTCATGTCAATCTTGAAAAAGTGACAAAACAAAACGATAAAGATTTTAATGCTTTTTCGGAAATAGACGAGAACGCGTACAAAGTTATTTCTCCTCAAGAATCATCTTCAAAAAGTGATTTCTTGATCGCAGTGTCAAATTCTGCCAAAGGTGTCACTTTTTCAGAAGTAAGAAGTCAAATTTTATTGATTTCGACAATGAATCAGAACTTTACAGCACTTTCCAATGTGATCAAGAACTCAGATGACAAAGATTTCGCAAAAATCCTTCCTTCAATTTTTGACAGCGCATGTAAAAGTGACAATGAATCTGCCAAAGCCATTATTACTATTGTTTCCCATTATTCATCGATCCCTTTGATAGACGGACTGATATCTCATACTGTTGCAAATTATACAATTGAAGAAACATCTTATTCTATTTTGATCCTTCTTAAAAGGTGTCAAAACCGTCATTTAACTTGTTTAGAAGAATTGGCCAAGAGAATCAAAATAGAGCTAATTCCTCATGGAATACAGTTCCTTTGTTCCCTTCTTTCTGATGAAAAAACAGTTAACTTTTGCCTGGAAATTTGCAAACTTGGAGCAATTGATTATTTAGAAGACGTAATTGATATCAAATCTGTTCCAAGAATTTTGCATTTCTTGAGAATGATTACCAAAATTTGTCCTTCAATGCAAACAGTCTCAACAAAGATTTGCATGAAATGTTTGTCCATGATAAGTAATATTCCAGATAGACAGAAAGTTGTTTCGATTGGTACTTCTCTTCTCAAGGAAATTCCACAAAATATTTTGAATCTTTGTTTCGAAGAATTTTCTGAAAAAGAAAATTTGATAAAATGTTTGACTCCTCCAAAGAAATTTACATCGAATATCAAACTGATTTCCTTTGGAACAGGAAATTCAAGGAGATCTCAGGAGAGAGGAGGCTGGCAAACATTAACTGTTGGAGATAGTGATGAAAGTGATTAATTTTATTTTAATGTTATTTAAGTATTATTTATGTTATTTTATAAAATAAATACAGCAAAATTGTTAATTACAAAATTTTTTAGAATAATTGTAATAATTGAATAGTAAAGAGCTTACAATCTTCCCAATCTTCCCAATATTGCTAAATGATCTCTACAATAATTTGAACCACGAAAAGTGCAGTTAGGACATCCACTTATTGCACATTTATGGTCTTCACAATACTTGAAACCATCTACGCGGGCATATTTACAATTATATTGACTGCATTTACATCTCTGACAGTACTGGCAATACATATTAGACCGCAAATTATTACACAATAAACACTTATGATCTTCACAAAATTTTGAATTTTGAAAGGTTGGATTGTTACAACCATAAACGGAACATGTATTCGAGGAGTTTTTTTCAACTTCAATGTATCTTTTGAGATAAAAAAATAGTCCATCTTTACCATCCGGCAGCATTAAACCTAGTATTTCTTCAGGAATCTGTTTTTGCCAAAGTGGAGAGTCATTTGGTGAACTTTGTTGATTCATAAATGAAGTGATTGATCAGAACTCATAAAAATATCAGAAATGTATTAAACATTAAGTTTCAGAATCTAGCAAATTACACAAGATAACTCTCAGGCCAAACTACTCACATTCAAATTTAGCTATATTTAAATTTGAATGTCTTCATCACATCACATTGTGATCCTTCATTTCACAACATGCAAAATGTTACAACAAATTACACAAGAAATTATCATGCAAAACTACTCACATTCAAATTTAGCTATATTTAAATTTGAATGTCTTCATCACATCACATTGTGATCCTTCATTTCACAACATGCAAAATGTTGCAGCAGAGGTCTTTTCAAATGAATGTTTCTTTAAAGGTCACGTTGAAATGCTTCCAGGTGATAAACTTCACATTATAATTACAGGAGACAAATCATTGCAAAGCTTTATAAAAGATGATCAAAAAAGATCTCATGAAATTTGGACTTCATTTATTGAATGGAAAGAAAGAAGATTAACCAAAACGCCACCCTTTACAAATCTGTCAAAAATTACATTTAAAGGTGTTCATTATGAATATGATCCAGATAATAAAACAGCTATTATAGAAGGCGAAGATGGGTGCATACCTGTACTATATTCTTATATATTAGAAGTAATTGGAATTACTGGAAGTTTTATTGATTCTGGATGTTATGGACAATGTAATGGAAAATTTTTTGATGCACCAGAATTGAATTCAATAATCATTAAAGGAAATATTGAATATATTGATGGTCCTGGTTTTACACGAGTTTATGTTTTTCATGATGAACTTTCATATGGAACACATTACTATGGTGCTAATGTTAAAACATTAGATTTCAGCCAATCAAAAATCAGACAGTTAAAAATAGGCTATACCATACCGCAAAACTTAAGGAAGATAATTCTACCTCAATCACAGGTTCTAATTGATTGTGAATTCCCTGAGTTTCTCAAAATTGATATTGAAAACAAACATTATCTTTCGATATCAAAGATTGAAGAAATTACATTGGAATCCAAAGACCCTCTTCCATTTTACCAGAGACATATGAGTGGTCTTTTCGCAACCGGTGCTGTTATCATCCTTATCCTCATTGTATTGATTATTGTGGCATCCAAGAAAAAATAAAATATTCAATATTGTAATTTGTAAAGATCTAACAAAAGTTTTCAAATGCTTCTATGTGAATAGAATCTCAACATAATTTGTGAATGACATAGAAATTACTGATAGAATTTGATTCGAAGATTCAAATATAAAAAAATTATATCAGCAATTTCAAATGATATAGCATTCACTTCAATTAATAATACTAATTAAAACAACGAATAAACAAGACCAATGACATGTTGGAGCAATAATACACATGCATTGTAAGTCATTAAAAAAGTAAAAGGAAATTGAATGGAAAGTTTAATACTCTTCAAGTCAAATTTTTTGAGGTCGCATTAAGGGTGCGCTGTAGTCTGTAAGTAAACTTCAGAATTTTTTTTGACATGATTTTTTTTCCTAGTTCGAGACCTATTTTGGTACCTTCGAACTTGAAGATTTTTCGCAAAAAATGAAACTTCATCGATTTCATTTATAAGCCAAGAGCAGCAAATCTATACAGAATCACTACGAAGATTTTGGTTTTTTCTTCAAATTCCAAAATAAAATCAGCCGTTACAACAAATACAAATCAAACATTCGGTAAAGAAGGCTGCAAAATGCTTCACGTATTGAATATACAGCAGCTTTTTATGTTTATTTAAATTACGAACTACAATCTAATATATTATTTTCCGTTATTTCTTCTATTTTTCAAATATCACACTTCAGATGAATAAAAACTTAGTTTTAAATATACCTTACTTAATATAATTCACTAATTTTTCAAAATTTATATAAAATAATTTTATTTCATATGCATATCCTAATTATATTATAAACTTCATATATTGTAAACATAGATATTTTCAAGATCAAATCAAGCCTTAAACACAGCATATCTTATTAAATTTGTTTGATAGGTAGGAATCTAATAGTTTGTATGCATATTACAAGCTTTAGAAATATCTATTTCGCCCAACGAAATTTATATATCTCATAATAACCCTTCCAAAACTCTATTTACAAGAAGATTTACTAATTTTTGAGAAAATTTATTTTAGCTTGATTTATAGCAATACATGAACAACTCTGCATCCATAAATCAAATATTATTGAATTTCAGGGAAGGAACCGTAATTATAAAATATGACCATTAATTAGTCATTAGTTTGGGGAAACTTTGTCATCCCAAGCATTTAGATTTATAAATAATTCTAATAATATAATTTAAATTCGAAAATAATTTCGCCGTTTATAATCGTAGAAAAAAATAAAAAAATCCAAAAAAAAAATCTTAAAATTTCAAAATACCATGGTTTTAGAGGATTTTCGCGAAAAACGAAATCATAAATACTCCTCATAATATAATGGTTTATTATCTTTCATCAACTCCAAAAAATGTTCAGCAGATATCGAGAAAAAGTACTTTTCAAATCGAGATCGTCAAAAAAATTCTGAAGTTTACTTACAGACTACAGCGCACCCTTAACCACCAAAAGAATTTGAAGTGATTGGTATTTCAATGTACTTCAAGCATTTTTCTGAAGTTTCATCTCTCGGCTATTAAGCTGAATCCGAGATAGACTAAAATATGAAAACGCTGTAACGAATGAATAAAAACACTATATTAATCTAGTATTTGAAGGCTCCAAATTCTTTATAATATAATTCGCATTTATTTTTTAAACTAAATATCAAATAAGTTTGACAAAAGATTAATTACAGACTCAAAAAGACTAGTCACTCTTTTGCCTTATATTAAACATTGATTTAAATTTTCTTATCAAATTTAAAAAAGACAGTGATATTTTTATTAAAGTGTGTATCTTTTGAGGAGTTCTTCGATGATTTTGTTAAGTGTATCTTCGAGTTTATCGTTGATGATAGCCAAATCAAACATATCTTTGTTTTCTTCATATAACTGAAGCTCTCTTCTAGTAGTTTGAAGACGTCTCTGAATTTGCTCTTCAGTTTCAGTCCCTCTTCCACGAAGACGAGCTTCAAGTGCTTCGAATGAAGTTGGCTTAAGAAGGATAATGAACGGTGTCATTTCAGATTTGTAGACTGCCATAGCACCATCAATGTTAACATCGAGGATGCAAATCTTGCCTGTAGCTTCGACTTGATGAATGGCAGCAAATGATGTACCATAGCAATTACCGTGGATGTCAGCATGCTCAAGGAACTCACCATTCTTAACCATTTCTTGGAATTTTTCGCGAGTTACGAAGTGGTATTGAACGCCATCGGTTTCTCCTTCTCTTGGCTGACGAGTTGTGTGGCTAACGGAGAAGTCAAATCTGCCTGGATAGAGTTCTCTTAGCTTTCCAATGATTGTTCCCTTTCCAATACCTGATGGGCCGACAAATACAATTGGATGCGGCATTTATTTTCTTACAAACTCCGATCATTTGTAGATTTCTCAAAATTTCCAGCGGCGGCAAATTATCTATTGAATTAAAAATTTACGGCGGTAGCAAAAATTTTCAAGTATTTAAGTGGAGTATTGACTGTCTGAATTATAAAATCGGATAAAGAGCTTAAAACAGTTAATATCCACTCACGATTTTGGATTTATAAAGTAATTTTTAGGATTTTAATTTTTTTTTAAGATATCATTGATAGATCGAATGAGAAGCATATTCATCACATGTTTATTTCCATTGAGAACATATTATATGTTAATCGAGAAGTATTATTTTTTCCGATATTAAATTGTTATAGACCGAAAATAGATTTTTTCGGTTTTCTCTTCAAATAATTGAAAGAATGATACTATTATAGGTTTATTATATTATATAGCATATAATCATGCTATAGCCGAAAATTATAAGTTTTGAGAAGATTGAATATAACACAAATAAATTTGAATGTAAGTTAAATTGCTTGTTGTTTTTAATAGCTATTTAATGAGAAATCCAATATTGCAAAATTCAAATTGAATGATTGAAAGAACAGAAAAAGTCATTCTTTTCAATTTCGAATATGTTTCATTGTATTTATAATTATATGGCAAATAAGATATTTAAACTTGATTTTTGAAGGAAAATTCACAAAATTGAATAAATTCAAATAATTTTTATTCAAAAATAAACTAGTTATTTGAGTTTAATACTAATTATCTATTCAAACTACAAAGTTTGTAATTTAAAATATTTTATGAGATCAGATTGAATTAATTCAAGGTTCTTTTCAATTAATATTAATGACCATATTACGCATTTTCGAACATTCTAAACCAAATATATAAAAATGGGAGACAAATGTTAAATTTGCTAGACATGGGGGAGTTGTCTGCAAAGTTTTAGCTCTTATCTCTAACAAAAAATTAATTTTTAAAAAAATGACCGAATACGTTTCACAGCGAGAAAAAAATAAAAGGCAAGATAGAATTTTCTAGACATAAAGAAGTTGTTTACCGAGTTTTAGCTCTTATCTCTAACAAAAAATTAATTTTTAAAAAAATGACCGAATACGTTTCACAGCGAGAAAAAAATAAAAGGCAAGATAGAATTTTCTAGACATAAAGAAGTTGTTTACCGAGTTTTAGCTCTTATCTCTAACAAAAAATTAATTTTTTAAAAAATGACCGAATACGTTTCACAGCGAGAAAAAAATAAAAGGCAAGATAGAATTTTCTAGACATAAAGAAGTTGTTTACCAAGTTTTAGCTCTTATCTCTAACAAAAAATTAATTTTTAAAAAAATGACCGAATACGTTTCACAGCGAGAAAAAAATAAAACTGTACACTGATTTTAATTTTCATTTCCAGTCACTTTACTTATTATTTTTTCTTTTTTTCATTTTAATTATAAATTATTTCATAATACGTTTATTTACGTTACCATTTTCTTTATTCTTTTGAATTCCATACTAGACACTTATAGAATATTTTGATTGTTAACGTACTTCATTAGAATGAATCCTTACAAAGGGTATGTCGATCGAATTTACCTAATTGGTATTTCCAATCAGATTGAAGAAGGTAAAATGACATGGGAAGAAGCTTGCACCCATGTTCCCATCGCATGAAGATGGAAAGCTATTTCACCTTTTCTTGTTTTAAATTTTCCCAAAAATTCTCAGATACTTAATAAATGAGATTTTTATTAGAGAAAGGGACAGACTAGCCCATTGTCACTTTTTAATTTAGCAAATGAACGCTTATGGAGTGGAGTTTTTGGGTAAATCTGATTTGCTTATAAATGAAATAAAATCAAAAGAAACCATATTGGCATTATATAGGGTGTCCAAAGGTGCGTTTAGCACAGCGCTCTATATGAGACTATTAAAGGAGATATATGCTGATTATAAATATATAATAAAAAATATGAATATATGTATATGATGAGTATGTTGTATTTTGGCGCCATGCCGGGATATAAAATGAATTTTGAGACAAGAGGCGGTTTCGCGGGAAATTTTGGCGGGATTTTTTTCATTTTTTTAATGAATCATAAAGAAAACATCCTCGCTCTTGCAAAAAAATGCAAAGACTGTAAAAAAATCTACGAGACATTGGTAAAATGCTTCGGTATGGATGCTCCTAGCTATTCCACTGTAACGTATCATGTTAGGATGTATCACTTCATGAACAAAAAGGCGCCCATCATAAAAATTGACAAAAAATCGCCGGATCAACGAAAAATCAAAGCAATTCTTCAAGCGCTAGATGAAGACCCAAGAGCATCACTCAGAAGGATAGAGGAGATGACAAAGATACCACGTACAACAGTCAGTTATTATCTGCACAATTATTTGAACTACAAACTAGCGTATACACGTTGGGTTCCGCACAACCTTAATTCAGTTCAAAAAAAATCTAGAGTCCAATCTTCGAAAGAGCTCCTCTCTATATTGGCTGCGTATCAATCCAAGAAGTTTCGCTTTTTAGTAACAGGGGACGAGTCTTGGTTTCAATATGCAACAGAAGCCAGAATCATGTGGATCCCGAAGGATGAAAATCCGCAAACATTCCCGAAGAAAAAAATTGACACACCAATGATGATGTTGTCGGTTTTTTGGGACGTGAATGGCATCATCGCAATTGATATTCTTCAAAAACCTAATACGATGAATGCTCAGTATCTAATTGACAATGTTCTTACTCAAATTATCAATTCTGATGAGTTTGAGAAATCCAAACAACAAAAACAAAAGTTTGCAATTCATTTTGATAATTCAAGAGTTCACAAAAGTCATAAGGTAATGAATTACTTGGTGGAAAACAATGTCAAAGTTGTTCCAAACCCAATTTATTCACCTGATATTGCACCCTCTGACTTTTATTTATTCGGCACGCTAAAAAAGAGAGCTGAAGGACGCGAATTCGCGAGTCCAGATGATCTTGAAAATTTTGTAAGAGAGCAATTTGAGCAATTTTCTCATGATGATTTAAAGCGTGTCTTTCAAGCCTGGATCGATCGCTGCGAACGCGTGATTGAATCCAATGGTGATTATATTTAAATAAACTTTATATATATGTAACTTGTTTATTTCTATTCGCAGTATTCAGGTTTGTGCTAAACACACCTTTGGACACCCTATATTATGCAAAAATAAATGATCTTACTTAGTACTTTTAAAGTTAATTTCAGAAAAAATTTGACACAATGGTATCCGGCACATACAAGTGGTGTACAACCAAAATTTCATATCCCTAGTTTTACATTTATGTTTAGTTTTATTTCACCTAATTTTCAAAGATCATAATTGAATTAGATGGCCAAGCTATTCAAAACACGACCAAGCTTATCAAAATAAGACCAATATATTCAAAATTCTTTATTCTTTCAAATCATTTCATTTTAATGCAGATCCAAGATCACGAACTCACATATATCGAGTTGCTTAAGTATGGAGTGCAACAAGAAATCCAAGCAGGTTGTAGTTATTCATATAAAACTAGGAAAGAAAGAAATCAAATCCAATTTAATTGTAAGTGGCCGAATTGTCCATGTCGCTTCCTTGTTGATACACTTCCCGATGACAAGTACCACATACGAAAATGTATTAACACCCACAATCATTCTGCCCCTTTTCCAAACAAATCACAACAAATTACATCATATTTTTATAGATCTTATTTAACAAGATATTTTGAATCAAATCAAGACCGTGTTTACGCACAATTAAGGTGTTTCAAAGATCTTAATATCCCATTTGATAGTGGGATCATTCCGGAAATGTTTCAACAATCTACAGATGCTTTAAAAAATTTTTCTAAACGCCTTCATGCAATCAATACCCGTTTCTCAGTGGATGATGTTACATCTCTTGCAATTTTTGTCGACATGGTTAAGAGTCATTCTCCAGATGATCTCATCGAGTTTATTCACGAGCCAGATCGTATGATTTTCTATTACGCCCCATTCGAAGCAAATGCTTTTTCACATCAAATACAAACTTATCACATTGATTCCACTTATAAGCTCTTGCGCTCTCGCATACCATTTTATGCCGTCACTGGCAAATTCGCGGAATCAATTGTTTTTCCGTTTTTGTATTTTTTCGTTTGGCCCGACACAAGTGAAAATATACAAGTTTGTCTCACAGCATATTTTGGCTCCATCAATCGCGAACCATCTTATTTTTCAATGGACTGCGCACCTCAAATCACAAATGCTGTTGAAACAGCCATCCCCTTATGCCAGATCATTTGGTGTGGCGTTCATGTGTTGCGCGCTGTCATGAGAAAGGCTGAAAAGTTTCAAGATCGTTCCAACTTCGAAACTTTCTATAACTTAATGAAGTTATTGGTCTTTGGTTCTGAAGAGGAAGAAATTGATCCTGATGAAGTTTACAACAATTTAGAAGAAATTTTAAATGAGGAACTTGCTGCCCGTGAATACTTTGACCGACAGTGGCGCCATCATCTTGACAAGTGGATGCTTCGCTATATAAATGAAGGAGATGGAACAAACAACATCTCGGAATCACATTTCAAGGTTTTGAAGCACCAGTACTTCCCAGAAAGGCGAAATCTTCGACTCGATGAACTTGTCATCGAGTTATATTCCAGTGTTGTTCCTTCATTCCTGATTAAGTTGCAAATTAAAGGTCTGGATTCAGAGAGAAGTGTTAAAGTTATCAAAAAAGTCACAAGAGATTTCGAAGAAATGACACAATTTAAAAAAAGTCGAATGCATCAGTATGCTTGAAGCTGTTCAGAAAGGTCTGAAAAATGATACACTTGATCCCAACATTGTTTACTCAACATTAAAAATATTATTGCAAAGAAAACATTTGATTTAATAAACATTTAATTTATTATAATTAATTTTTTATTACAGTATAGTAAAAAATGCTATAAATAAATTATTATATTTTATTAAAATGTGACTTTTAATAGTAAGTGAATAAAATAAATCAGGAATTGGGAAAGAAATAAGGTTAATTAAAATAATGAAAATTACAAGTTTAAGGTTAATAAAAAGTGACAATGGGCGAGTTTGTCCCCCACTCTATTATTACGCTGTGAATGTGTCAACAGCGGTCATGCCTGTATCTGTATCCCATATTTGCCACAACCTTTCTGTATCTGCATTTGTGTATTTCGGTTTCAGCTGATACATTTGATTTGGCGTGTAATTTGTTCCAGTTAATGGATTAATTGGGAGATCTTCATGCGGTGTGTTATTATTGTACTCCCAAATAAAGGCAGGAATAGCCTGAATGCTTTGGCAGCGCTCCAATGTCGGCCAGAATCTCTCAATCCTCCCATTTTGGTAGGGAGAATGAGAGTCTGTATGCCGCCATTGGACGCCCCAAAGATCAAGTAGATCTTGAAAGGCGCCCCTATTTTCTGAACCGTTGTCGGTCCAGAAACAATAAGGGGCGCCAAATTCAATGAAGGCGGAAGCCGCAACGTTCGCTGTCGTCGCTGCCAGCATATCTGGTATTTGTATACACGCTAGTCTTATATACGAAAAAAGGAGATTTGACAGAATGTCAAATCTCCTCAAAAAGTGACAATTTACATGGCAAACAATTGCGAGCAATTTTTAGCCATTTTGGCTGAGAACTAGGGTCTGCGAGGTACATAGATAGAATCAGTACCTCGCAGACTCTAGTTCTCTATATGGCGCCGAGAAATTTTGGTGAAATGTCGACGACATTTCACCAAAATTTTCTCGACGCCATAGGATGAATTGGAGGGTGTGAGATACTATTACATATAATAGTACTCACACCCTCCAAAACCTCGAAAATCTCAAAATTTCCTGCAATTATCATCAACTTTGCATAGCACAATCGGCCAAAAATTCATTCAATTGTCCTTCTTCTCAATATTTCTTAACTCTTTCGATTTCTTTCAAAATATCTTTCAATAATCTTTCAATGATAAATATTATACAAAAACGATTAGTATGAAACTTTTTTGCATTTTAAAAATATTTTATATTTCTGTTTTTATTTCAATTTTTATATTTTTATTTTCCTTTTTTTTAGATGAAACTTATTTGTTTACCAATATTCCTTATTTTATAAAATTTTTCAATTGAATACTACAATAATTTTATCTCTCCTTTATTAAATTTTCGATTTTTATGTTAATTCTAATTCTTTGCACTATTTCTTGTCTAAATCTTCTAAAATTTTTATTTTAATTTAATTTGACACATAATCATCCTTTTAATTTTCGATTCAAATCCTTATCCTCTTCATTATTTTTCAATAATTTTTTATCGTAATTTGTAAAATTAGTTCTTTTATAGCTGTTTAAATAATCCAAAACCATGATATTTATTATTGTTAATTATTCCTAATCATGTTTTTTACATTAATTTTAATTTTTTATTTTCTGAACCATTTAAATTAATTTTGTTAAGAATATTTTTTCAATATAGACTTCTGAAATAATTAAATTATTCTCAAATTCTCACAAATTATTTCATTTCAAATTTGTTTAAAATGAATTTGTACACCTTAGTTGATTCAGCTTGGCTTGAAACAGCTCTAGCACAGATTCAAAGGCGCACACCGTTAGCCATTGTTCTCACAAATGTTCCATTAGTCAACAACACTATTCGTTCATCAATTAACAAGATAACATTTTACAAAGCTCTCTTATGTAATAGACTAATTACTATTGAAGAGTACTTACATCATACATACAAACTTCAAGAGTTTACTACTTTCTACATTAAATATAATAATCGACTCTACGAGTGTTCATCCATTTTTGTTTCATACCGAAATGGCTAACAAAAAGTGACAGAAAACCTTAAATTGCGCGGCAATTTTAATTAAAATAATAAACATTAATTTTTGTGATTGATATTATGCATTTTATTTATATTATATAAGATTTAAATTTAGGGGAAAAATTGGGAAAAAAATAAGATTGGAAGTCTTTAGGTAAGAAGGAAAGGGCAAGAGATATATACTGTACCTATATACCTCTTGCCCTTTCATTCTAAGTAGAAATGGGAGAAACTTTGTCCGCATCATAAGTTATGCGGACAAAGTTTCTCCGATTTCTAATGGGAATTGCAGGCTATGAGGCACTGATATATAATCAGTACCTCATAGCCTACAATTCCCCTTATTAGACTTCCAAACTTTGAGTTAATGTCAAGACATTAACTCAAAGTTTGGAAAACTTCTCGTAAGAATCAATCGTCAAAAATCTCGATTGCAGTTATATTCATTGTGTTAAATTTGATTTATTTTGAAATTTTTATAAATTAAATTTTATATAACATAAAGCGTTATGAATTAGTATTTCCATATGAATTTTATCTCGAAAATAGTAATTCTGTACAGTTATATTTCGGTTAATTTTGGAAATTTCTAGGAATACTTTAAGATAGTATGATTATATATAACTCTGCCTTCATGATTTATTTTAGCTTTCGCGCAAATATCAGTTAACTTAACTCCATTATTTGATTTTGTGATGGCTTCACAAAGCCAATAAATATCAATCTCTTCTGGAGAATGTCTTCTCATCTAGAATATTTTCAATACTTTACATACAAACATTTTTATTTCTAAAAAACTTTTTAATTTTTTCTAGGATATATGAATGAAAATAGTTAGAACAAGATTTTGAAGCTCAAAACATTAAAAATTATTAAAGATTTGTATAATATGATTAAAAATGGGAAATAATATGAGGCAATATAAAGGAATATGAATATTAAATAAATATATCTAAATAGAAAGAATCAGAAAAATCAAATTATTGGCGCCAAAAATGTCACCTTTTTGGTGAGCCATTTCGGTATGAGATAGTGTTCATCCATTTTGAAACACAGAGATGACACTCTCCTTACCGATTATTTGATATTACAAAGTTCAAACGACTCTCGTATACAGGAAGAACCCTCATCAGCCAGCACTCCTCTACAACGCCAGCTTTCATCAGCCAGCACTACCAACTCTGTTCCACAGCAACAGCTCTCAACAGCCAACGCTCCTCTACAAAGCCCACTTTCTGCCAACACCCCGCCACAACGCCAGCTCTCTGCCAACGCTCCTCTTCAACGCCAGCTTTCATTAGCCAGCAGTACCAACACTCCCCCACAGCCACAACTCTCTGCCAGCACTCCCCCACAACTCCAGCTCTCGGCCAACTCTCTTCCACAGCAACAACTCTCTGCCAACACCCAGACACAACGCCAGCTCTCTGCCAACACCTCGGCACAGCAACAACTCTCTGCCAACACTCCCCCACAGCAACAGCTCTCTGCCAATACTCAGCCTCAGCCTCACCCATCTGTGTCTATTCCCCTTAAGCGCGGGAGACCCAAAGTTAATGTACCAAAAGATCTTAAGGTAACTATTAGAAACCTAATTGAGCAGCATGGCCATCTTGGAATAATCTCCGCCTATAACCAAATAAATAAAGATATCGAATATGCCAAATCTCATTTTGAGGCATTTTTGGACATGAAGACGGGTATTGTTCCACAGCCAACGCCTACCCAAGCATGGTTCTCCGCTATTGAACGTTTTAAGCCCCTGAATCAAATTTCTTCCACAATTCCTTCCGGACTTATGATTGAAGAGTCTCCATTATCATTTCCATCTGAGCTGAGGAACATTAAATATCTTACAAACCCTCTTCCACATCCCCCCTCAAGACATATGGTAGAAAGAGCTTTTAGAGAGCTAGGCTTGGCACGTCCAAGGGGACCCTATCGGCCAAAAGGAAAGACAAGATACTTAGCTGCCTTTCCTAACCAAATATGGCACGTTGATATCCACTTTCTTGGCAAAAAGAGAAGTCAGATTCTTTATGCTGTGATTGATGACTGCACAAGGCTCATCATAGAATGGCAGCATCTTTCGTCAAAACATGCTAGCCAAACAGTGAAAGTAATTAAGAGAGCAATAGCCCGTTATGGACCACCACATACAATTTGGTCCGATAATGGCGGCGAGAATAAAGGCGAGTTCCTAAAGGCTATGAGGGTTCGGGGGATCAATAATGTATATATTGTCCCCCATTGCCCATACCAAAATGGGAAAATCGAGCGCTTGTGGCCTAACATAGAGAGCAGAGAGTTGTCATGGGCAAAGATTCAACAATGGGTTGAGTACTATAATGCTAAACCTCATCTAGCATTACCAACTCATTATGTGAATGGAAAACAAATTCACTATAGCCCATCTGAAATGTGGAAGAAACTTCCAATTTGGAAGAGGGGAATGCCGGCAAAATGGATTGTGGATGGAGTCTCTCAAGATTTTCTTCCAGGTTCACTTATGGCCAATGAGATGCCAGAGCTCCAAGGAATCGAAGAAGATGAATGGGAAAAAGAAGGCGAGGAAGTTGAAGAAGAAGAAAATAAGGCGAATCCGGTTGAAATAGAAGAAGATAGTAATGAAGAAGAAGAATACGAAGTAAATTATGAAGAAGAATATCAAGAAGATTATGAAGACCCTTATGAAGAAGATTATGATGATTCATTTTAATATTACGAATAAAATGTCACTTTTTCTGTTTTTGACACGTAAAGTTGTCACTTTTCTGTCAAACCATTTTTATCGTTTTTGTATATAACACTAGGGCTTTGCGGCTAAAATCGTCGATTATGCCATAAATATACTGGCCACGAACACCCCTAAAATAATGAACATCTGCGTGCCAGATAAGATTGGGGGAAAGCGCCCAATATCTTACTGCTGTTTCTGGCCCGGCATGCTCTAATCGCATCTTGGTGAAATGATTTTCTTTGAAGTATCTGCGTACTTCTCTATAAGATACATCAATTTGTTGTAATTTCAAACGTTTCCATTGTTTTGTTTGACCATAGGGAAAGGCCCAGTGGTCATGTATCACAGCAAGAGCTTTGATTTGGTCGTAGGGATTGACCCTACGACCTTTCTTGCCTTTAGGCAATGGGATATTCTGTAAGCTAAATTGATTTTGTAAAAAAGATTTTGAAACATCTAAATATTTGAAATCATTTGATTGAAGGGTTGGGGCGATGGGAACATGGGTGCAAGCTTCTTCCCATGTCATTTTACCTTCTTCAATCTGATTGGAAATACCAATTAGGTAAATTCGATCGACATACCCTTTGTAAGGATTCATTCTAATGAAGTACGTTAACAATCAAAATATTCTATAAGTGTCTAGTATGGAATTCAAAAGAATAAAGAAAATGGTAACGTAAATAAACGTATTATGAAATAATTTATAATTAAAATGAAAAAAAGAAAAAATAATAAGTAAAGTGACTGGAAATGAAAATTAAAATCAGTGTACAGTTTTATTTTTTTCTCGCTGTGAAACGTATTCGGCCATTTTTTTAAAAATTAATTTTTTGTTAGAGATAAGAGCTAAAACTCGGTAAACAACTTCTTTATGTCTAGAAAATTCTATCTTGCCTTTTATTTTTTTCTCGCTGTGAAACGTATTCGGTCATTTTTTTAAAAATTAATTTTTTGTTAGAGATAAGAGCTAAAACTTTGCAGACAACTCCCCCATGTCTAGCAAATTTAACATTTGTCTCCCATTTTTATATATTTGGTTTAGAATGTTCGAAAATGCGTAATATGGTCATTAATATTAATTGAAAAGAACCTTGAATTAATTCAATCTGATCTCATAAAATATTTTAAATTACAAACTTTGTAGTTTGAATAGATAATTAGTATTAAACTCAAATAACTAGTTTATTTTTGAATAAAAATTATTTGAATTTATTCAATTTTGTGAATTTTCCTTCAAAAATCAAGTTTAAATATCTTATTTGCCATATAATTATAAATACAATGAAACATATTCGAAATTGAAAAGAATGACTTTTTCTGTTCTTTCAATCATTCAATTTGAATTTTGCAATATTGGATTTCTCATTAAATAGCTATTAAAAACAACAAGCAATTTAACTTACATTCAAATTTATTTGTGTTATATTCAATCTTCTCAAAACTTATAATTTTCGGCTATAGCATGATTATATGCTATATAATATAATAAACCTATAATTGTATCATTCTTTCAATTATTTGAAGAGAAAACCGAAAAAATCTATTTTCGGTCTATAACATTTCCGATATTAAATACTCATTTGAAGTTCATTATTTCTACTTGATACACCATGACTTTATGCAATATAGTGCCTTATAGGCTTGGTTTCTATAATAATGTATTTTTAGTAAACGATATATGCTTTTGTCCTGTCTATACATTAAAAAGATGAATTTCACGGTTTATTCTATATGATTATATACAAGGATATGAATTTTCGTCATGAAGTCATATATTATTATGTCAGAATTTCAGGTTTTGCTGTATTCAATTTTGAGAATGAGCAGATTCAGTTCTATTTCATTACAACAAAAAAATAATTATATCACGATAGTTTTCTTTATTTATTCACCAAGTTTTAACAGTTGATGTAATCAATAACATCACGATAAAAAATTGATAAAATTGATACCTTATCAAAAAATATCAGCCTAATTTTATTTAATAAAATGCTTATAATCATTTGAGATTATAAATTTCAGATGAAATATCAATCTTATTGATTTTTTAACCCATTTTTGATTAATGCTCATTCTGGCATCGCTTCTTTATAGATCAAAGCTAGATCAGGGATGTATTGATGCATCTCCAACTCAAACATACACTAATGATTGGTCAACTGAAAAGAATAAATGCGGAACATATACAAAAGTGATAATTTCATCGGAAGTGACTTCAATCATAGATCATGCCTTTGAGAAATGTGATAAGGTACAAACAATTGAGTTTAATCAACGCTTACAAACAATTGGAAACTCCGCTTTTGAAGGTTTAGAAATATTAAAGGAATTGATATTTCCTGACTCATTAATATCTATTGGAAATTATGCATTTAAAGGATGCAGACTATTAACAACTATAAAATTCTCAAATTCATTAAAAACTATTGGTGATAATGCCTTCGAAGATTGCTATGTTATCAAATCATTAACAATTCCCAAGTCTCTAACAAAAATAGGCCAACATATATTTCAAAATGTTCAAGATATCAAAACAGTAATATTTGAAGATGGATTAACATTTTTGGGTGACTATATGTTTGAGTCTGGTACAGGTCTTACATCAATAACAATGCCAGATTCAATTACAAAGATTGGCCAATATTGTTTTCAAGAGTGCTATAATTTAGCAACAATTAAATTTTCAGAGAACCTTCAAGAAATAAACGACTTCGCCTTTTACTATTGTAAGAGTATTAAAACATTAGAATTACCAAAGAGCCTTAAAATGATTGGGTACAACGCGTTTGAAAGATGTTTAGGCTTAACTTCAATAACTTTACCAGAAAGATTAATCACTCTCAATAATAATGCATTTGGCGGTATCTTAAAGCTAACAGAAATAACTGTTTGTTGCAAAAAACTTGATTTATTAGGAACATTTCTCAATTCAGGAAGAATTTCGAAAAATGTAAACAAGATTGAGTTCAAATCGAGCGAGTTTAAGTTCCTTCAAGACATACAACTTATTTCTAGCTTATCTACTATTATTTTGAATTCGAATGAAATTATTAATTTTCCAGATATGACAGGTTTGAAAAATTTACAATACCTTTATATTAACAACACATCATCTAGCTTGATGATATATCAGAACCGTCTTCCAAAAACAAAACTTCTCAGTAGTATATGATGTGGGGTGTGTGACTTTTTTTGTAATCGTAAGAATTCTCACATAATTGAATGATTTTTGAACATACTTCCGAATAGCAGATTTTAAAAATTTATGAATAATTTATAAAAAGTTTTTATTCCTACAATTCCTATATTACCATTAATAAAAAGAATATATTTTATAAAATTTTATTATAAATGATAATATAATTTATTAAATTAATATATAACTTATGAATTTTTAATTTTAATGAAATAAAATTTAGTATTAATAAAGTTATAAAATAAATTGGTGCATGTTAGATGTAAATAAGATATAAAAAGGTGTTTATGAATACTTTAGCAGAAGTTGCATTGAATAATGAAATATTTGATGAATATAACCTTGAACTCAGTGATGGGCTTTAAGGACCCGGGCTCAACGAGTCATGATTTATGAAATCAATAATTTGATTTATTCGCTCTTCAATAATTTCTATTCTTTTTGTTAAATCATCTATTTTCATTAATGAGGTATAAATATAATGATAAAGAATTTTTATTTTGTATGAAATGAGTGTCAAGACTAACGACGTTAAAAAATTAGGATTCACAAATGAGGAAATAAAGGATATATTAGAGGAGGCAGGTTATGAGGTTGATAAATATTATTTTAGAAATTGTCAAAAATTCGCGGAGTTTTTAAATGAGTTTGATTATGATGGAAAAATGAATAAAGATGATGTTATAAATTTCTTATATCCCACATCTAAAAAAGAAAAACCTAAAGAACCTGATGTTTTCCCTGAATATTATGAAGAACGAATTAAAGATGATGAATACGATGAAATTGAAAGACTGGAAAAAATAAGAGATGAAATAGATGAAAAAATTAAGGAATTAAGAGAAGTTGAAAAATATAATGAAAATGAAGTAGAGGGTTTAATGAATATCCCAGCTTCAGAATCAGCAGTTCAGAAATCTCATGAAGAAAGATATAAAAATTATGTCTTAGAATCAACACAAAATTTATTAGATGGTGATATTGACGAAACACTTTCAGAAGAAGGTACTAAATTTATTCATAAACATAAGTTACAATTTATTGACGATGGAGATTATCCATGTATATTACTTTCACCTCCTCTTGATTCTGAAAAATTCAAAAAACACTGAAAAATGTAACATATGCAACAAATACGATTAAGAAAGAAGACCATGATATTTACACAAATTATTATTTAAATAAATGTACAGGTGTTGATAAAGTTTTTGATTTGTTAGATAAAATATCAAAAGAAACAATTGGTACATATAAAATTTTGTGTGATTGTGGTTTCATTATTGAAGATACCAATAATGTTTCATATGAAAGAACAGCACCGAAGGAAGACGAAGTGGAAAGGTCTATACCATTCGTTATTAAGAATATAAAAGATATGAAAACGTATAAGCATTATATTTATTCATTTATTTCAGAAAAAATGGAAGCAACCCATAAAACATCTTCTCATCATTTTATAGCTATTCATACATTCCTTTTCAAAGTTGTGAAATTAAATAAGACAGGAATTAGATTTAATGTATCAGGGTACACATTCTTGAGTAAATTAAAATGTATTCGTCACGTCGCAGATGATAAAAATTTATGTGTTCTTAATTCATTTTATGGGCTTTAGCCCTGGACCCTCTGAGTCTCGGACTTTAAAAAAATAAACTTTATTTTTATTTATTTTTTATTCTTACATAAATGAACAAAAACGGAACAGCTAAAATGAATGATAATCAAATTAGAGCAGAAGGTAGAAGGTTATTTAAACGCTTCTATAACATTCCTGATGGTGTTAATCCTAAAACTCGTAGAAGTTATTTAAATGAAGCCATAGATGCATATGAAGGGTTTGATATTTCATCAGAAAGTGAGAGATTAGCAAGAATGTTAAACGTTAATATTGATTTTTATTATTGTGACCCTCAACCAGAAGACGTAGACATTAACAAGGTAGACTTTCCATTAGTGGAATCAATAATGATAGATCCAGAATTTGAAACAGTAAATATTTTATTAACACAGAGTCCATGTGGAAAACTTCACGCTGACAGAATAACAGACGTTGAAGCACTCACCGGCTATAGAGTTTGCCCCTTTTGCAAAGAAGAAGTATATTCTATCCGTGATGATCCAGAAAGGAAAAACCAAAAAAGATTTTTAAAACATTGTGAGAAATGTAAAGAAAATAATGGAAGATTAATTCAAGACGTTCAGTTGCAAAAGACACAGCAACCATATGCACCACATATTACGAAACAGAAGATATATCAGTGGTTATTAGCTCATAATTTGCAGGAATATTATCAACCGACAAGATATTATATTACTTTTGACTTCGAAACATTAGAGACTAAAGAAGAACTTCAACTTTCTGAGTGTGCAACTTTGAACGCTTACTTAAAACCATTCATGGTATCATCAACGGTTAAATTAAACGATAAAACATATACGAGGAATTTTTGCTTAACATCAAGTGATTCTTTTATTTCTGATTGGATTGAATTTTTATTTTCAACCTGTTCATTAGTTGCTAAATCAAATATTGAACAATATGAAGAATTAATGAAGTCGCAAACGGACCAAACGGCGGGGACTTTGTCTCAAACATTAAATGAAAAACAGAAGGAAGCATTTAAAGAACTTCTAGATGAGGAATTCAATAAAGTGAATATCATAGGTTTTAATTCGGGAAAGTTTGATTTAAATTTAATTCTTCATGATTTAAACACTGCAAAATGGAAAATAAAATCAATGCTGGGTTCATCTTCACAATTTAAGCAAATCATTGTAAAGAAAACAAACGTTCCATATGAATTAAGATTTATTGACATCAGAAATTATATAGCGGGTGGGACATTAGACCAATTCACTCAAGATTTCGGAAACAATAAAACACGTGTTAAATCCTTTTTCCCTTATCAATTCATCACATGGGAAATTACGAAGAAGAATTATATAAAGTGGAACCATTCACTCAAGATTCATTTTATTCAGCATTAACTCAAGAAACTATATCAGATAGATTATCAAATATATCTCAATGATGCTAAAAATTTTGAGAATAGATTAGAATATTTTATTCATTATTGCAATAAAGACGTTGAAATTATGATTGACCCAATTGATAAAATTATCGAAGAAACATTTGTTTATAAAATTGACATGCTTCATAATCTTTCTTTATCATCGAATGCTTCAATGATTCGTTACGCTTTAGCATATAAAGACTTTAATCCTAATGAAAAATATCCAGAAGAGAAAAGAATCAAGTTTTGAATTAACAAAAAAGTATTGGAAATATAAAATTGATTCATATAAGAAACAAGATGAAAAGGCGAAAAGAGATACTAAAAATAATGTTTCAACGGATGATTTTCAATACTATCACGATTTAATCCTTTCATCTAAATGCAAAATGTGTGGTAAAGCGTTTACATATGCAAATAAACCAACATTGGATAGAATCGATAATGAAAAACCACATACCAAAGAAAATTGTCAGTTAATGTGTTGTTATTGCAATGTCGTAAAATCAAATAAAGATGAAGATGTTCAACGTTTAAGAATCAATTTAAGAAATTATGCATTAAAAAATAATTTACCAATGACTTTAGATTCAGTTGAAGCTTATCACATTCTCCGTAATGGAATTACTGGTGGTTTATCAAATGTTCAACATAGAGTAAATCTTAAAGGAATCACGCACATTAATAAACTTTCATATAATCCAGAAACTAAAACTGTATCAAATGAGGACACCACCAACATTATGACTCATTTCGTTGGAGTTGACTTTAATTCATTATATCCTTCATCATTTTCATCTAATCCTCATGATTTCATTCAATATACTGACCATAAAATGTATATGCCGGGAAGATTGAATGGTGTTATCATTTGTGATACAGCAACAAAGAAAGCAAAAGCACTGGGAATAATTAAGAAGAAAAATACTTTATTCGTGGCTGAAGTAAAGGGTCACATTGATGAAAAATACATTAATGATTACATAAACTTTTTACCGATAATAAGAAACTTAGATATTATCACAGATGAAAAAACAATTGGCAGTTTTATGTATAATTACATGAAATCAAACAATTTACCGGTTGACCAGAAACAGAGAAAATTAACTCAGTTAGCATCAACACACAACCAATATCAACCATTTTCTTCTTATTATCTTTGGTATCTAATAGACAGATTTCATTTTATCATCGATGACATTCAATCAATTTTAACATTTACTAAAAACACTTGTTTTAATGAATTTGCGAACAAATTTATGAACGAAAGACAAAAGGCTGAATTAGAAGGAAATAAAGGAAAAAGTTTATTTTGCAAGATTTCACTTAATGGATCATATGGTTACGATGCAATGAATACACAAAATTACGCAAAGACTAAAATAATGAATGCACAGAAGGCACGCGTTGCATGTATGTCAAATAAGTTTAAAAACATAAGAGAAATAGGTGAAGATACGTATCAAGTGATGCTTAAAGATAGATTTTATAGATGTGAAACATGTTTACAAGAGGCATTCTTCACTTTAGATAATGCTAAATACTGGTATTTGGTTTTCATTTATGATTTTATGTATAAATGCATGAATGTTAATCGTTTTCATTTCATTGAAGGTGATACTGATTCATCTTATTGGGCAATCGCTGGCGACCAAATCTTCCTAACACTCAAGCATTTCAAGCAATTGTTACTGATAAACAATTTTATGATAAAAACATTTACAAATTCGCACCTTTTGATTTCTTTTGTTTTGATGAGAAATTTAAACCTAAATTAAAGAATAAAGCTGAAGAAAAAGCACATGAGAAGAAGTTATTGGGTTTAGCAATTGAGAAACAAGGTGATAACATGGTTGCTTTATGCCCCAAGTGTTATACATCATTCAACGGTTCAATTGATGGAAGTGATTTTAAAAAGATTGCACAAAAAATGAAAGGAGTTAGTTTACGACAAAATAAACAATTAACACCTAAAAATTATTTGGATATAATAAATGATAAAGTGATATTTGATGGTCAGAATATTAATTTACAACTTAAAAACGGGTCAATGACTCGCTTAACAATCGGTAAGACTGCATTAACAGGAGCACACACTAAGGCTGTATGTTGTGAAAATGGATGTTGTATGCCGTTTATTTAATGAAATGCCACAGAAGAGACAAAAGGAACCGTTGAATGATGGTTTTGATTCTTGATCAAAGAGGTGGGCACCCTTAAAACATTTATTTTATTTTTATATAAATGGATAACGTAGATTTAGAAAATTTAATTGATGATTTAGTACGTGATCAAAATTTTCTTAGTTATTATGATTTAAAAGCATATCTCCAAAAATATGATGAAAATATAACGGATGATGATATGGATTATTATTATTCATATTATGATAATGAATTTTTGAAATATCATGATGAAATAATTTCTAAAATTAAAGATAAAATTAAAAATAATGAATATACAAAGGAAAAAACTAAATCACAACTTAAACATTTGAAAGATTTCAAAAATGAAGTATTAACAGAAGAAGATATTGATGAATTATATAAATTATATAATCCTGAGCCACAAAAAACAAAGAAACAAAACGCCCGGGTCCTTCAGACCAAAAATGATGCACAAGCTTTAATTTATGATTCATTAGTTAAACCACATTCAGCCCAACTTTTAAATAAAGATCAACTTTTGGAATTCATCCTTCAACATAAACTCGAAGCGGAAAGTATATCAAACCTTTATATACAGCATATTTAAAACAAATGAATAGAATACATCCAGAATTAATGAAGGGGAATGAATTCCAAAACTTCATCATCCAAAATCAAAGCGGATAAAATTAAACCACTTGCAACACCAAACCTCCAACGACTGTACCTGCAACACCAAAACCTCCAACGACTGTACCTGCAATACCAAAACCACCTCCTCCAGTTAATCCTTCATCATTCACTTTATTATATCCATTTCAAACATTAAAGAAGCAAAAAGATTTTAAAAAGGGTTTCAAGATATTAAATAAACCAATTGACCCGAAAATTCAACCGTTAAAGGAAAAATTTGGTCGCCCTTCATTTGCACCATATCCATATTCATACGAAATCGATCATTTAGAATATTCAAAAGGAAACGTTACTTATTTATTTGCCATTAACATTAACACCAGATATTTATATTGCATTCCAGTGAAAGGGAAAACAGAACAGGAAACAAGAAGAGCTATTCAATACTTACTAGATCATGAAAGAGTAGATAATATCAGGGGTGATAGTGATAAAGGATTTCAGGCAACTATGACTCATTATTTCCCACAAATTAATTTTTACTTTTCATCCTCTCCATATACGTTTCATAATAAAATAGTTGATGCGGTAATGAGAACTCTTAGAGATGCGTTAGGGGTTAACGGTCAGATATACTGGGATGGAAATCATGACTCCATCATACAACAGTTAGTATATTATTACAATAATACATGGCATAGAACTATAAACATGAAACCGTGGAAATGAAAAATGATATTTCAAAAGAATGGGAATATATTAGAAAGCAAATGGAAAGGTTGAATGATGTTAAACGTGAACAAATTAATTCGGGGCTCATGAATTTTAAACAAGGGGATAAAGTTTTGATTCATCTCGATTATGGAAAAACTGATAAATCAATGACAAAAAGAAGACGAAGATTTGACACAATAGCTGAATTTGTTAGATATATTAACGGCAATGCATTAGTTGAAGTTGACAATAAATTAATAGAAATTCCGATTTATTTTATTACTCCATTATATTTAAATAATATTTAATTTTTTTTATTTCGTAAGAAATGAGTGACAACGAAGCAGTCAAGAGTCCAGACGATGAATATAAAAAGAAACTAAACAGAATTAAATCAAAAATATGCTATTACAAAAAGAAGCCACAATGCGGTGAGGTTGAAAACGATAAAGAAATAATCGAAAAATTAGAAACTTACCGTTCAATCCTTAAACTAAGTGAAGCAAAAATAAAAGAATTTAATAGAATAAATAAATTGATTGGAAGAGATGAATTTAATAAAGATGAATTTTTAAACTCAATCCAAAATTAATTTTTATTTTTCTTTGACAACATCTCTCTTTCCATCATTACTGCATAACCACATTTTCTCAGTTTTAGTGGTTTGTTATTTTTAGCAAGTTCTCGCAGCATTTTTATCGTTTCCTCCCTTGTTATGATTCGTGGTAAATTTTGAGCTTGTGGGGTATCCATTTATGATAAAAATAAAATTTTGTTATCAGTTATTTTATCGTTAATGGTTTTCAGGTTATTCAATAATTAATTCAAATCATAACACCATGTTACCATGTGCTCCCAGGTCATTCAACTTCTCTGAAAAAATGAGACAACATGGAAAATGATTTGTCATGACTTCATCGTAATGAGTGTAAATGACCCAAAAATAATGTTTAGGTGAAGAGGTGAGATCTCACCTCTTTTCTCACCTCTTGCTTTGTAGAACGAAGAGCATTCATTATACTTTGCATTTGGTACATGTCATCTTTGACCGAACGAATGAGGCGAAGTTGTTTGTTATACTGTATGTACTCGTATTCTTCATTAATGGCTTCATGAACGATAGTAGTTGTTGTGTTCTCTGATGTTGACATTACTGTCTTTACATACAAAATAAATAAAACTAACTTTATTTTCTGACTTTCACAAAAGACAAAAATAAACGCTTTACATGTATTTTTCAGCAACTTCGTCAAATAATTTTATAGCTTTATCTATCTCATCTACTTCAAACGTTTCTTTACCTTTTGGGAGCACCATACATTTTCTCAAAAACTTCAAGCAGTTCTGTTTCAGCAGCTCTCATATCATTAACAAACACAACCTTGACTCTATTGACTGTACTGTCATATCTTTGAGTTATATTATATGTCCTTCCTATCTTATATCTTTTTGTGTTGAAGTCCTTCGGTTTCTGAACGATGTAAAGTAAGCCTTCACTGCAACGTTCCGTATCGAATGAACCATATGTTATGAAGTTATATCCAACAACTGGGTCTAACCATAACAAAACTATTGGTATAAGACTTTTGTCTATAAGATATGCTCTTGTTCCATGAAATGCTACTGATATCATAAGCTCAGGATTTCTTGTCAAAATTTTCTGAGTTGAAGCATTTCTAACCCAGTCGTTTGTTTTCTTTTCAGATGGAGATATAATGTCTGACAAAGAATATTTGTTGTATTTCTTTGAGTATCTTACGTTTAAATCACCTATTCTAACCACTTTGGTGTCATCGTCTATCTTTCTAACTGTTTCAAACTCAATGTTTGTCATTACTGTCTTTACATACAAAACAAAAAAAGATATAAAAATAAAATTAGCGTTGGTTTTCTAACTAATGAAATTCATTATTTTTGAAGAACTGAAGGTGCTACCATGTTACCGGTCACCAGGTAATTTAATTTCTTTTAAAAATGTGACAACATGACATTTTGACAACAACATAGGAGGAAGGCAATAATGAATTATTTTTGAAGAACTGAAGGTGCTACCATGTTACCATGATGACGACATGAAATTGTGTCAACAACACGAGAGGAAGGAATTTATTCATTATTTTTGAAGAACTGAAGGTGCTACCATGTTACCAGGTGCTACCAGGTAATTTAATTTCTTTTAAAAATGGTGACAACATGACATTTTGACAACAGGGATGAAATTTGATGTAGTCCAAAAATAAAGTTAGTTTTAAAATTATTTTTTATTTTTTATTTTTTATTCCTATATAAATGACAGCAACAAACAACAACAGCAACTATATCGTTTCTGATGAAAAAGTTGATTCATTAGTTGAGGAATTAGTTGAGGAATTAGCTGAGGAATTAGTTATGGCAGAAACTAAAACCCTCAACGAAAGAATTGGTGAAAACAAGATTGATTTACATAACTACCTCAAACATGATGGAGGAAGAGGAAGGAAAACTGGTATGGCTTTATTAGTAAATAAAATTTCGAATTTAACGATTATAGATGTTGATATCAATAAATCGTACAATGATGAACTTAAAGAAATGGTTAGAAAAGACATTCTATCAAAACTTTCGGATAAAGATGTTATCGTTAAAACCGCTTCAGGAGGTCTTCACATTTATTGCAACACTAATTTCTTCTATGCAGTTTCGAACAGAATGATTAAATGTTATTCCTGCAATGATTATGATATTGACATAATGACTTCTATTGATGATTCAAAACGTTCTTTAGTAGTTATGGCTGATTCAAGAGTTCGCAAGAATGCAACAGAACCAATCAATACATACTCATTCATTCGTGGAAGTTATGATTCAACATTAACTAGAACAGTGAATGATATATTAAATGATTTGAATATTAAGGTAAGAGTTGAACAGAAGAATGAAGAAATAAAGACCATCGTCAATGAAAACAAAGATGTAAACATTGACGATAAACTAGCTCAGAGCATAGTTGATGGCATCTGTGATTTTGAAGTACATAATGACGGTGGAAACATGAATTTAGAAAAAGAAATAACATTATTCACACTGTTTCAAGCTATTAATTCGTTACCTAATCATTTAATTAATGAAGCATACGACAACGTTTATAACTTCTGCAATTTAACTGAAAATGCAAAAAGTAATTTTGAAAATGCACGTAATAGATATGCACATTTAATGACTTCTCCATTTGTTTTGGTGAAGATTCTAAAACTATATCAAAAGGAATATTATGATGAATATGTTTTACCTTTATTACGTAAGCCAAAAATAACATTTGATATAAAACTTGATGACTCGTTTTTGATAACAGATATTAGACGCAAGGCTGAAAATCATCAGTATAAAAACAGTTCTGAAGTAATTGAGGATTTATCACGTGTAATCCGTTTTATAGATTGTGGAAATAAATATTTCATTCAAAAGGACTATAATATCCACGACAAAATGAATCAAATATCATTCGTTCTTCAATCAAACATGAAAGAGTCACTTAAAATGATTAAATTATTTAATGAAGAAGGTAAAACAATAACAGCATGGGATGTACTATTAAATCAATTATCTTCATTAACCGTTAAGGGTGTTTGCTTTAAATCTGATTCCCCCGATGTTTTCTCAACGTTTCAGGGTTATAAATACAACATTCTCGAAAAGCCTGATTACTCAAAAATTGAGATGTTTATGGATTTCATTAAAGAAGCCATTTGTGATAATAACGATGAAGTGTATAAATACCTTCTCGGCTGGATTGCATCAATGATTCAACATCCTGGAATCAAGAATGAAACAGCAATTATTTTGAAAGGACTTCAGGGAACAGGTAAAAACAGATTCACAGACATTATTTCTGAACTCCTCGCTGGTTATTCATGTAAAAACATTACTGAAATAAGTGAGTTAACGGGTAATTTCAATTCAGTAGTTGAAAATAAAATGTTTCTTGTACTTAATGAACTCAAGAATGTTGGTGAAGACAGACTCGCAAACTTCAACGCTTTGAAATCAATTATAACGGATAATGAGATTAGAATTAATGAAAAGAATCAACCCAGAAGAACCGCTCAAAACGTTGCCAATTTCATTTTCGTAACTAATAACGTTTCCCCTGTCAAAATTGAAGTTGGAGACAGAAGATATGTAGTTTTAAGAGTTAATGGTAAATTCAAGGGTCAATTTGATTACTTCAAGAATTTAATGGATTCATGCACAAAGGAATTTTATGATAATTTACTGACATATTTTATCAATTACGACCTTTTATCATTTAATGTACGAATCATACCGATGACTGAAGCCAAACAAGATTTAATTGAATTATCAACAAATCCTTTAGATGTATGGATAAATACACATTATGATGAATTGTGTGCAGGTATGACGTGTGAAAATGCTTTATTCTGCAAACCATCAGACATGAAAGACAAGAATTTTCAAATGAGTATTAAGGATAAATGTGATAGGAAACATAGAAGAATAGATGGTAAACAAACATGGTGTTATGTTTTGAAAGAAGAAATGAAAGGATTATATAAACAAGTTGAACCAAACGATGATGAGGATTCATTTACTGACGATGAAATACCTGTAAATGAAGCTTTATAAAGTATGATTTGAATTCATTATTGCCTTCCTCCTATGTTGTTGTCAAAATGTCATGTTGTCACCATTTTTAAAAGAAATTAAATTACCTGGTAGCACCTGGTAACATGGTAGCACCTTCAGTTCTTCAAAAATAATGAATAAATGCCTTCCTCTCGTGTTGTTGACACAATTTCATGTCGTCATCATGGTAACATGGTAGCACCTTCAGTTCTTCAAAAATAATTCATTATTGCCTTCCTCCTATGTTGTTGTCAAAATGTCATGTTGTCACCATTTTTAAAAGAAATTAAATTACCTGGTAGCACCCGGTAACATGGTAGCACCTTCAGTTCTTCAAAAATAATGAATAAATGCCTTCCTCTCGTGTTGTTGACACAATTTCATGTCGTCATCATGGTAACATGGTAGCACCTTCAGTTCTTCAAAAATAATGAATTTCATTAGTTAGAAAACCATTGACGCTAATTTTATTTTTATCTTTTATGAAAATTCATGAAATTTGGTCATTTTTCAGCAAAAATAATGTTTAGGTGAAGAGGTGAGATCTCACCCGTTTTCTCACCCGTTTTCTCACCTGTTTTTTCACAAGCGTATTACATGAATTGTACGATGTATATTTGAAATCCTAAACAATTTCGTAGCTTCTATTTCTTCTTTTAGTACATCGAATGTTTTAACGATACCGAAAGTTTCTTTATACTTCTTCTTGACGTCAGACAGAAGGAAATCTTCTGCTGTTGGATAGTTTTTATTAAGAAATGTCAACATATCCATTTTATCTTCTGCTGGCTTTTCTGCTTCTTTCTTTAAGTCTGCATAGTCGTTTCGCATTCTTTCTATCTCTTTGACTGAGTAGTTATATTTCCTCATTGCTGCTTTACATTTTGAACATTGCGGCATCGTTTTTGCGTTATACATTGAAATAAAACCAGCTAGAACAACTAAGGCGTCAATGGTTTTCTTTAACTCAAAAGCTGCTGGTTTTATCTGTTCATTCCATACTTTACCTCTTCTATCTTTATCTCTTATCTGCCATACACATTCTGCAATTAATGAAACAAAGTTGTCGTATGTCTTAAATTCTTCGGATTTGTAAAGGTCAGAAATATTTTTATAAACCATGTCGCAATCTTTGTCCATAACTTTATGGTTGCAATGATATCCTGGAAACTCATAGTTTACCTTTCGTATGAACTTCTTTATTTCTACTGAGTCAGTTGCTTTGACTTCAATTTCGTCAAATTCGGGAATGGTTAGTTTTTGTTGTTGAATTTCAGGTAGTTTAGGTAAATGGTCGATGAGGTCCTGCATGTCATAAAGATATTCTTCATTTTCTTCATCCTGTGCGGTACAGTCTAAATTACTTGTTAACAGTTCTTGCTTTATCTTCTGGATTTTTGTTTCGAAAGTATATGAAGAAGGAATGAAGTTTTTCATCTCTACCAACATTGACGTAGGATTCATGACTAGCGAGTTTGGTGCTGTAGTTGTGGCTTGAATTGTTGTTGTATCGATTGTTGAAATCATATCTTTTATACAAAATAAAAAAATAAATAAAACTAACTTTATTTTTTCTATCTTAAGGAAATTCATGAAAATTTGTGAGGGTGAAAAAAGAGGTGAAAAAACGGGTGAGATCTCACCTCTTCACCTAAACATTATTTTTGGTGTAAATTTATGATAAAAATAAATGATTCATTGAACTCTATACCATGCGTAAACTGTCATGTAAGGTGGCATGTAGTCTTTACCTTGTCCCGTTGTTTGTGTATATCCTGAAACGAAATGTGTATGGTTTCCTTCTCCCTGAGTGTCACTCCAGTAACAATTTATAGCAAACTTAACGTCGTCTTTAACATCATATCCTTTACCTTTTGTCATTCCTGACCAATCCCAATATCTATGCTTATGCCAACCTGCTTGAGATGTACTTAAATCTATGTAGTGACTGTGTGCAGGTAAATTTTCACCTGTAATCGTTTTACTTCCACCCATTTCCTTTGAAGAGTTTGCACAATACAAAAACTTGTCGACTATTTGTTCCCATGCACCAACACCAAACATTGCTTGAGGACCTCTTGCATCCATAGATGTATAAATAGAACCTACTGGGTTCATTAAATCAAACATATGAGATAATATAGGATTGTCTATTTTGAACTTAAAATATAGTGCAACTATTTCAGGTTTCTTCTGGTTTGTGTCGGAATATTTTTATAATATACTTATGTTTTCAGGGTAGGTAAAATCTTGACTATAATATTTATTTTTGATCTATAAATAATATACTATTCTTGTTTTTTCTATTGCATTATATCTTTTATATCTATAATAATCTAAATATAATGTTAACTTTTGTTCATCTACATGTGGTGTTCTGACGTCATCTCCATAGTCATAATAATATGGTGCTGGAGCTGTGTGAGGCAATGTCATATCTGTCATTTCATAAACTCTTAAATATTTCTTTTGTTCGTCTCCATATAAGTTTAAGTAACAGTTGTTGTCTAATGGAACTTTAACTTGTGTACCATTATTCTTTATATAGCTTACATACATTTCATTGTTATTTTTCGGAATGAGTTTACACCGCATACCATTTCTTAAGGACTGTACAAACTGCCATCTAAAATATTTATTTTCTTCATTGACAGAAAAGTCACCAACAATAGTTTCAATATTTTCAGTTGTTCCTATCAAACTTTGGTATATTTCGTTGACATATTCATTATCTGCTTTCTTCTCTAACTCACTGTTGACATATGTTTTATCTGCTTTAAGGTCTAAACATCCTGAAACCCACCCTGTATCAGCTTTAGTTTTTAAAATCTTTGATGCCCATTCATGATACCTTTCAACCCTTTCTTTAATTTCATTATCTTTTTCGTTGACATATTCCTTATCTGCTTTCTTCTCTAACTCACTGCTGACATATTCCTTATCCGCTTTAAGGTCTAACTCACTGTTGACATATTCCTTATCCGCTTTAAGGTCTAACTCACTGTTGACATATGTTTTATCTGCCTTCTTCATTAACTCACTGTTGACATATGTTTTATCTGCTTTAAGGTCTAAACATCCTGAAACCCACCCTGTATCAGCTTTAGTTTTTAAAATCTTTGATGCCCATTCATGATACCTTTCAACCCTTTCTTTAATTTCATTATCTTTTTCATTAACATATTCCTTATCTGCTTTAAGGTCTAACGCACTAGCCACACAATCCTTATCTGCTTTCTTCTCTAACTCACTGTTGACATATTCCTTATCTGCTTTCTTCATTATGTCATTTAGGAAACCTTTTATGAATTCCTCATTTAAATTAAATCTTCCAATCTTCAAAACTTTAGGAAATGCATTTAATGCGTAATATCTTTGTTCTTCTGGTGGAATTGATGTTATATCATCCGTTATTCCTTTAATTTTTGAATTCATAAATAAAATTTCTTTTATATTTGATATCACTGCACCACCTTTGCAAACGAATTCGAAACGCTCATTTTTCAATACTATCTCCAAATCTCCATATTTCAACCTTTGTGTTTGTTCTGCCGTCTTTGAATTATATGCATATATGGCGTATGTAATGGTCTGAGGGACCTGGGTGCTTTGTGCCTTAAGTTGTTGTGGTTGCTGTTGTTTAATCATTTATTACGATTTAAAAATAAATATTTAATCCGTTATCTCATCAGCTATTTTCTCTATTTGAAATTGCCATAATATTTCATTCATGAATTCTAAATCACAATCAAATAGGTCAGTTATTCTAAATTTAATATTTGATAAATCTTTTGAATGAAGAATAAATGATTTCCCGGATAATTGAATACGGATATGATAAAGAAAATGTGTTTAAGTTGATGGATAAAATGTTTTGTATTGATGGGTAAGAGTTAGGGTCTAATGTTTGATGTGAAAATTTCATTGGGGTATTAACTTTATCACATTTGATTAAAAATGAAATTGGAACCAGTGTCAGAATACAAAAATCCCCAACATCTTTTTCAAAATTTAATATCCCCAACAATGAACGAAGATGAGGAGTACAAAATTTAATTTTCAGTGAGAATTTAATAAGGTTATTTATTTCATCAAGTTCAAAAAGTTTATTGGGTTTTGATTTAAAATTTTCTTCATACCATACGATAAATGATTCATTTAAATAACTTAAAATCGTGTTAATATCCCATTTCGCTATCACATTATTTATATACATATCATACGTTTTTTCAAGGTCATCTTTAATAAATGATATATAATCTGAAGGGTCTAAAAGAATGGGATTAAATTTACCACTCACAGAAACGAGAGTAACATTATAAATTCCGCTAACTGTTAAATTTAATTCACAGTTATTATTCGAATAATATTGATAATTGACATTTTTATTACGATTAAAAATATGGTAAAGCGTTATTTTCCAGTGATAAATAAAACTAAAATAAGATTACCTCAAGAATTCATAAATTCAACGAATAAGAAATTCATTCATGTTATAAATTTTAGTGTTTTCAGAAAATATGAGTCGATGTCATATTCATCATCAGGTTATATTTCACTTCATTCAAATTTAGTTCAATCAAAACCCATATAATGACCATTTCATAAGATTTTCAGATGGTATTAAAAATGTAATTGATAGATTAAAATATGAACAGATTGACAATATCGAATTTTTGGAATTTTGGTTTAAATATCCTGATGGAAAAAAGATTGAAGTTAAAGATAAAGCTGATACTATAACAAAAAATTACAATGACCGATCCGGATAGTGGGAAACAAAAAGAAATAAAACAAACGATAGAAACTGGTGAAAGGTCAATTATTATTGATTATGATTCAAAGGATTATTATTCGATAATGTTAATGCTTGAATATTAAATAGCCTTAACAAAGAATTTTTCAAGTGATATTTTATATTCATCAACTATTTTATTGTATATGTTATTATAATTTAAATGTAGTTCAGTTGTTGTTCCGTTCTTTGATATCTTAATTGTGCTAATATCCTTTATAGGATTTATTTTTTCAACTGTTCCGCAGCATGAAACCTCATCATCTATGAAAAATTGAATCTTAACGTCTGAATCTTGAACATCACAAAGAATAGCGATAATGTGAATTAATGATTCATCAAGGTAAAATAATTAAACCGGATTGGTCAATTAAATTTATTATTGAATCATAATTATTAATTATTATATCACGGTAAATTTTTCATTAATTCAGAATTAATGTCTATTTTATATGGGTTCTCGATGTTTGATGAAAGAGGTGGGGGTATGTTGGATAAGTGGGAATTTCAACAGGTTCTTTACCAGGTTCAGATAAAATGATTGGGTCTCCATCTTCTTTATTTTGCTCCTCCTCTTTCTTGGTAAGTCACGAGTTAATAAATTTGGTTGAGTTGCTGACCTTGTTAATTCAGGGCTAACATTAACTTTAACATTTTGAATAATTCGTGATTTATCATCATTTACGTTATAACCAACCGTAATCTCTGCTTTTGCGTTAGTGTTCTTTTGACTTGTGAAACGTCTTCTCATTTATAATTGAATAAAAAAAAGAAAAATATATTTAAAGTTTTATTTAGTTGTTACGGTAATATCCCAAGGTTCATCCTTGTTTGCTTATACTTTCTTTGTAACTGCACCAATTATGTTATTGATAATGATTTGAGTTTCTCCCAGTCTTATTTTATCATTTACAATATCTTTAATCATTTCATTACATGCATTCTTATAATCAACTGATTTCTCAAATTTTCTTTTATCTGATTCCTTAACTAAATCATAAGTTAAACCTCGTTGAGAATAAAGTGGTTTCTTTATCAATTCCTTGAACGCTTCTGAAAGTGAAGATGAAGAAATTCTTGCCACTTGAATTGGTTTAAATTCTGCTTTCATTGCTTCTTTCTGTTCATTGAACACCGGATCGAATAAAGCAACTTTAAAGAATTTCTTAGCTGAAATTTCGGGTCTAATATTTGCATATTGACCATCAAACTGGTTAGAATATCGTGGTAATCCATCCGGTCCCTCTTCAATAGCATTTAATTCTTCATTGAAATAAGAATATGGATTATAACGGTATGAATTAATTGGACCATTTTCACCTTCTCCAATGTATTGTTTAACAGCTTTTCCATTTTCATCAAATTGCATAGGATAACGTTCATTATATGCTTTACGTTTAGGATAATCAGTTATAGTTAATTTGTAACCATTTATGACTTTAATATTTCCTTGACCATCAGTAACGAAAACTTCATTTATACCATCAGGTTTTCCATTTGGACCCGTAATGTCTGCTTCGTGTGCTTCCCAATTTGGACCTTGACGTTTGGCATATGCTTGAGCTTCTGGTAATGTTAAAACGTTTCTCATTTGTTTAACATCCTTTTGAAGACCGGCAACAATGTGGACTAATTCTTTCATTCCGTCTGGAACTTTCATAGTTCTATTATATGCACCCTTTTTGTTTGTTCCTTGTTTTAATGGAACCTGTAGAAGATTTGCAATTTCTGT